GTGGAGCCGGTTGATTTCCGAGGCTCCGGGGGAGAGGAAGCACGAGGCGCCTCTGAAGTGGTATCGTACCCCCCGTGGAGAGAGGGGCTGTGTGCTGCTCTCCTGAAAGGTCCTGTGGAAAGGCTGAAGGCTGTTCGTGTTATAACTATGATGCTTGCTGGAGCTGAAGATGCCTGACAGCTGGGAGTCGCAGATCCACTGGGGAGATGAGTAATCAAATCCGAGCTGACACAGGGAAGAATCGAAGGACTTATCAAGCGAGGATGATGTTGATGCCAGTTTGACAGTCAGCAGTGGGTGTTTAGTGCTGCTGCTCAGGATGAATAGGAAGAAAGGAGACAAAGGATTTGAGAGCCCAAGACCATATAAATTATAAGTATCTATTTTTTTTTAAGTTGCTGTACCTGAGACCAGTGCACATTTGAAACACCACAGGCTGATCAGTAATTATTTACTTGAGAAGGTTGGAACCATTGCTTATGGTGTAGCTTGCACTCAGAAAGCATATGTTGTAGGTGTATGTTTTATTGTGTAAATGGACTCATGGACAGTGAGTCTGTCAACCATGTAGTCTCATCTTCTAAAGATATTTACATTGTGCTCTTCAAACCTTGGAGATCTCTCCACACAATGTCAGCAGTACAGACCATGCTACCATGTTTCATTCTTACTGCTGTGTCAAGCCCTTTTGACTTAAGGGCTTTTTTGTATATATATAAAATGCTTGCATTTGCAGCAAGCAGCTTTGTTAGGCAAACTGTAATTTTTACTCATTCATTATTTTGGTTGTAACCAAGCTGTAAAGCAGTTGGTTGTGGATTTCAGTGGATCTTTGTATGTTTCTGTTTATATCTCCTTGATTTCTTGATAAATCTGTAACACAAATGTATTTCTAAACAGAATCACTCTTGTTATCATACACATTTTAATGTCTAGGTAATGTTTGAATCCATCATTGGATAATAGCTGTTATAATTTTTGTGTAGGAATTTTTATTGAACTTGCTCAGCTGAAACAAAGTCACTTTTTAAAAACACAAGGTACATGAGTATGTGCATATAACGTCTGGTGTGGCATAAAAGCTGAATTATTACAAGGTTGTATCTTGAGTTGTGAATAGCACTACTGTGAACTGAAGTGTGGTGAAAATGCCACTTACTGCAGAAAAAATATAGAAATAACTTCTAAAGTTTTTTAAAAGTTGCAATTATTATTTTTTATTTGTTTTCTTTTTTTTTTTTTAATCTGAGGTTTTTTTTTACCAGGAGTTCTAATAAGTAGTTCAAAATTTGAGCAAATACATTTGACTTGTGTAAAATACCTATATTGATTGATATGTAGCCATTATTTAAAATAATAAATTCTTATGACTTACTAATTGTAAAAGCAAATACTATATCTCTTTTCATATATAGTACCTGCTTACATAAATTATGTATGAGCATCAACTCACCAGGTAAATTTTCCACAGGCCTCTGATTGCAAATACTACAGCTGCGTGCTCTTTCTGATACTGGGCAGCACTGAAGTGTTAGAACTTGACTCTGTGCCATTAGTAATACTATATTTTTACATACTGTTACATGATGTTCAAAAGCAGTGTTGTTATCCTCCTGTGTTACTAGTAATACTCATAGTGGTACGATACTATGCTTTGATTTTATTGGACATTTCTTTTGACCTTGTGTGCAACTTCTATTCATTATTTGGTTTGGACCATGTAAGAGATTTAGACCATCGTGAATTCTCCTTATATAAATATATGCTGTATGGAGTATTTATCTATATGTACATACATCATGTATGAGCTCTCAGTCTTCTTAAAAGTGGGTTAAAATATTATTTTAAATGCTGGCATGTGTGCAAAACCTTACTTATTTTAAATTATTATTTTTTTTTCCAGCACAACTCACCAGGTAGTTTGTATCAACAACATAAATTTTCAGAGAAAGTCTGTTGTAGTAAGTATCTTCTAATAAAATGTGAAAGGAGAAAGTAAAAGTCTGGGTTTTCTTTATGCTTTTAGGGGAAACAACTGCACACACAATCTCGTTATGTTCTTCGTCTTCTTTATATTTTATACTTTCTAATCTGATGCGTCTCGTAAATCTGTCATTCTTTGAGATGCATCAAATAATTTACCTTCTAATTGTGAATGCTTTAATCTCAGTAAGGAAAAGCTTTCTGAAAGAAACGTCACTGCATTGTAAATAAGATTGCAAAGCAATTTGCAATTCAAAACTGACCTTCAACACAGTGTTAGCTTATGTTAGGGGTAGGGTTATAGAGTTTTCTAGCTTATATGCGAGTTCACTGAGGCTTTGAAGAGACTTTCACCATTTCAGGCCTGAAGGCATTGAGGCTTTCTGTGAATTTAGATAGCTGGCTAAATGGATTCTGCTTAGGTTTTAAAAATCACTGTCTCAAGCTCAGATACCAAAACCTAAAACAGAGTGGTGAAAAACATAGTGAAGCCTGTAACTTGAAATGTGGTCAATAGAGGCAGATCATTTCCAGTAAAACAAGCATGATTGTCAGTCATTTTTAAGTTTTTTATGTTATTTCACAGCTGGGAAAATTCACCTGTTAAATGATATGTAAGGAAATGTTTTCTAACCATCTAGAAGGGCATAACAAATTTCCTTTTTAAATAAATTTTTTAATAATTTTTTTTACCTACGATTTTCCTTTGAAAGGCATTAATAAGGATTTTCTGTATATATCTCTACTTTGTGAATTGGTAAAGATTTTACAGAAAGTTTTGATTTGTGTTTTCATAGGGTTATGTGGAACTGACAATATTTCCCACAGTTGCAAACCTGAATAGAATCAAACTGAACAGTAAGCAGTGTCGGATTTACAGAGTAAGAGTCAACGATTTAGAAGCAGCTTTCATCTACAATGATCCAACGCTGGAGGTTTGTCACCATGAGTCAAAGCAGTAAGTGATGTGTTTTAAACTCTGCAGCTGTAGTGTCTTCTGTGGCTGTTAAGCGTGACCTATTTTATTGTACTGGCAAGTTTTACCTGGTCATTTCCTAATGGTAACATAAGTTTCAGACAGAAACAGTTAACTTTTGGTATGGTGACTTAATTTTGGGAAAGTATTCTGGCAATAATTTTGACTGATGCTAATCTTCTTCAGAAATTCTTTTACTAACATTTCTTTGCGTTGTTTTGTAAAAATATCAGTAACTTTTAAAAAAGTACTTTATGGGGAAAAATGTGGTGGATGCCAGTAGTGTTCTCAGTGCTTTAAGAAACTGTCCTTCTCATGTGTTTTTTCCCTGTTAAGAAAATGTAGGGCTAAAATGTTTTATCTTTGATGGACTTCAGCTTTATCTATGCCCAACTTTTACACTCATTTCTGTACAGACAATTTGGTTACGTTTTTGTGGCAATAGCAGTTTTTTAATATTCTTGTAGAGAACATTTTACAGTGATGCAACTGCATTTGTATGAAAGTTCCACATGAGAGGATTGCCTTTTGTTTTTGGGTTTTGTGAGGTTTTTTGTGGTTTCTTTTTTGTTTGCTTTTTACTTCACCATGGTTGGTTAAATCAGTTTGGTTGCATCAATATGACATTATATAGACCAAAACTATTATGTTCTGATAATTTGTCATGCAAAATTGCCCTGATTTTTGTTATGTGTAGTGTCAGAGTGGCTGATGATTTTTGTTCCTTCCCATTGTTTAAACCAAAGAATATTCAGATGGTATCTAAGTTCTTGGGAATATTTCCCGTTTTCCTAATTGGATTTTGTAAGAATTTTTTCTGATTTTACTAAATATGTCTAGATAGCCTCATATATAATTAGCTCATTACTTTGAAACAAATAGTAGAAATAAGGCAAATCACGTGACTGTATCAGGTTAACTATTGGACCACTAAAATAAGATGTTTATTACTGTCCTTCAGCTATTTGTTGTGTCCCCTTGAACCGCGGTTGCTCTGAGAGATTTGCTAGCTGAAAGATGGAGAGGGCTCAGTAAGCAGCTTCAGAGGTGGTATCCCCTTGGTTAACTCATATAGCTGATGAAAGCAGATAGGAATTAGTGATACTCTGAAGGAAACTGCAGACTGCTAGTTAGGTTTGTGAGAATAGTGACATTCTCAAGTGATGTAGGTAGATCTGTAAGAGATTGTCTACTCATTGCCTTAATGACTAGAGCCTTTCTGATGTTTCTTAGCCCATCTCAAGTTTTCAGGTTAAACCTGACAACTTCTCTGACTATTGCCTGAAAACTTAGGTATTAAAGAGAACTTCTGTTGTTCAGTTACTGAGATTTAAGTGCTACTTTTTAACCCAAGTTATGTATCCTTGGATTTGAGCTATTTGTTTATGGCAGACACTCTATATTTCTTTATTCGTCACTTATGCAAGAGTTTCAATAATGCAGTTTGCAAATGCAATGTTGATTTATATAGGACACTGAATAGCATATCAGAGTTCTGAAATTTTGTCTGAGTCCTGATCCTGAATCACTTGAGTCTATTAATTCTGTAATTCCTGTCTGTTTTGTGACTTGATTGTTTTTGCTGCTATTGCTTCATAAGTCAATAATTCAGAATCCTCATTGGAGGGGTACTAATTGTTCTGAAGAGCTAGAAAGTAGACCTTTTCTAAGGAATCAAACTTTCCTTATTTATTAGCATCGTAGATTAAACTATAAGTCCTAGAATGTTATCTAAACTCACTTTGAAATCTGAAGGAAAAGTTTCGAATTTATTCACCACCTGATCTTGAAGAGAAAGTTTAAAAACATGTAGCTTCCCACCTGTTTTGTGCGAAAGATAGCGGAGGAGACTTTCGTAAAAATGTCGTATCTGGTTGTTTTTCAGTAAGAGAAGCACTATGGGCAAATGTTTTCACCAAGTCACTCTTTTGATTTTACTGAAATGTATGCTTATGTTCTCACACTTCTTTTGGCTGGCTTGGTTGAATTTACATGTTGCTGAATTGATAAAGAACTTCTAGTGAAAGTGTTATACGTATTTCACATTGTGGTACAAAATCACAGAGTCCTTTAGGTTGGAAAGGACCTATTGAGATCACCTAGTGCAGTCCCCCTGCTCCAGCAGGGTCAGCTACAGCAGCTTGCACAGGGCTGTGTCCAGTCGTGTTCTGAGTATCTCCAAGGATGGAAACTCTGCAATCTCCCTGCGCAACCTGCTCCAGTGTTTGATGACCCTCACAATAGACAAGCATTTTCTTGTGTCCAGATGGAACTTCATCTATTTTAACTTGTGTCCACTGACAGGACTGGAGGCAGGGGCCACAAACTGAAACACAGGAGGTTCCCTTTGAACGTCAGGAAACACTTCTTTACTGTGAGGGTGACTGGGCACAGGGACGATTTGCCTAGGGGGGTTGTGGAGTCTCTATCCTTGGAGATATTCAAAACCCATCTGGGCTTGATCCTGGGGTAGCGGCTCTAGATGGCCCAGCTTGAGTAGGAACCCATCTGGGCTGGATCCTGGGTTAGCGGCTCTAGATGGCCCAGCTTGAGTAGACAGGTTGGACCACATGACCTCCAGAGGTTCCTTCCAACCTCAACCATCATGTGATTCTGTAGTAACTGAATCCTGAATTCCAGGAGATGTGAGAAAGTAGCAGCATTTAAAATGATCGGAGTGACTGCCCCATTATGTTAAGAAGGGGATCAGGAGAGATAACTCTGTTATTTTGTGGAGAAGGTGAGATCTTTGTTTAATGCCCTAGTGGCGTAGTGGAACATCATCACTTTTTACATATTATCCTGTTTAAGAGCAGTAAACAAAATTGGAAGACAATGCACGCAAAGTAAAATACTGTCTCACACAGGGCTGCTGTGGCCTGTGCTTTTCACTGCTGCAGGTTTTCACATTGCTGTTCAAACTTAACAGAAAGTCTCCGTGTTTCCTAACTTCTGTGTTATTCATAGTTAAGAAAGACTGAGGTCACCAAATATTCTTAACAAAAAGCTAGTATGGCCCTTTTCCTTATCTTAGAAGTCAAAGGCTACATGGGTTATGAAACGTTATATGACGTGTATTTTTTTCCATTGAAATGCATGGTCGCAGCTGGGTGTTGGCTGTGGCGGTAGCAGAATTTTTACTAAATACAGCATCTCTGGCTTTAAGGCAGGATTACAAACAGAAATTATAGAAATGGAAAAACTCTAGTTTTCTAGTACTTCAAAAAAACCCAATTTATCAGTGGGTTTCCTCTGCCCTTCTCTACAAGGAACTGCTCCTAGAAACAGCAGTGGTTTGTAATAGTCTTTATATCTGATCAGTCCTTTCTCTGCTGGTCACCTCTTCCAAGTTCTCGTTTGTCATGGCAAGTTGAGTGGTGATGTCCTTTGTATCCTTGCAGCTGAACTAGGTATATCAATTATTTTGAACAAGACACAGATTAGTGATCAGGTTTTGTTTCTGGTGTAACAGGGATACATACCTTTTGCATGGTTTTCTAGAGTAGTCTATTGAACTAGTAAATGAGAAATTAAGATGGTTCTTGGCAACCTGTTTATTTAAAATAATTTGTTTTATATCTTTACTCTTTCCTGTGGTTTTTAGCAAGTAAAAAATTATTTCAAGTTTTAAGGCTTTGTATGCACACATTGTCTTGCTTTTGATGATGCTTTTGGTTTTTTTAAATGTTGATTTCTGAAAGAATGCATAAAATATGTAGAAAAGGTGTTAACGGACTCTTTCCTACTTTTTTGTCACAGTTAAAATATTTTAAAGACTTCTTACTCACTGAGTTAGCAACAGAGTTCAGTTAAAAATGGAAAATTCTGTATTTAAAGCCACTGTAATTATTTCTTTGGGAAGACTTACTACAGCATCCGTGACTTGAGAAGTTATGTTTGCTGATGTGTTTGCTTATGTTTCAAGTGAAGTGAAGTGGTTAACTGTTTATGTTGTGCAAATTTTGTCATGCAAGAAAATATAGTTAAAAGAGGGTTGAGAAGGTCAAGATAAAAGACAGCATTAGCTGCTAAATACAGGCAGCGCCAGCTGAAATTGTTTCTGTCTCACCATGATGTTCTCTGCTACTTGGGTGAGATCTGTCAGATCAGGTCTTTGTGTTCTGAATTTGAACATTCAACTTGTTTTTAGTTCAAGTTATACTTTTGGGTTTTATAATCTATTGATGCAAAAATCATTGACATATGGTGTCTGTCAGTTCAGATTTCCAGTGTTGCAGAAGGTGAAACAACTTTTTTTTTGGTCTTGTTTATTGTCACTTCTGCTGAATTGACAAAAAACCCTCACTAAAAGGGTAATTAAAAGTTGGTGAATTTTGAAGGAAATGTTAGAAACTTTTAATTAGTACATTAAATATATTTTCAGCTTTGATGCCATTGCAGATTTATCTGTCAGTCCCAAATCACAATTTCAGGCAACAACTGAAAGAACATTTAAAGTTTTCTCTAGAAATAAAGTAGGTCTTCTCTCTTGTAATTTCCTCTTGAGGCTTCAGGACATCATAGCTTTTTCATATCAGATTAGATGGGTGAATTTACATAATGCAGTCACTTCCTCCCTGATTGAGCAAGCATCTGGACAGTGCTGTGAGGTATAAAACCATTCACATAGTTTTTCCCTGTGTACACAAGGTGGCAGAGAATCCCATTTTGTTCATATTTTTTAAGGAAGAGTTTTAAATCTTGCAGAGACTGCAGAGTGTTGGAGAATGTTTGGATCTTGTCTTGGGGCTGTTGTTGAGTATTACAGCTGCCTCTGTCTTTCTCATCTTACCTCTTTTTGTTGTAAATTGTTGCTTTCTTCATTCTGTCAATATAAGGGAAGTGAGATTTGTTTTTTGGACTATAGTATGTAGAAATCCCACAGCATGTGTTCTGACTGCTGAGACAACTGCTTTTATCTCAGCCCCTCTTATGTTAAAATGAGCAAATGAGATCTCTGTTTCTTAATCCTGTGGGTAAGATTTTAAACTGTTAAATAGCTGCAGCAAAATTTTTGAGTTTTGATGCAGTGGTTTGATCTGTGATAAGTGAAGTTTGTGATGAACTTGCTGTTGCCTGGTTATGTGCTTCACATGTTTGTGTGATAACTATGGTGCAGGGATGAGAAGCTATTGCATTTGATTGTTACTTCTGTGTAAAGCAAGATATGTTTCTGTATAGCTGGCTAACGAGCACATAATGCTTTCCTGTGTACAGGTACTCAATGTCAATAACCTTTGGCAGTGTTATACCTGTTCATTCACTAGTTCAGCTTATTTTTTTTTTTTACCTTGAAGCCTGTAGTTTTAAAACATTAAAAATATGAAGATGTTTTGATATCCTCCAACTTCACTGTTCCTTTAGTTACAAGCAGCAGTGAGTTGTGAGAGAACAGTGTGGTAGCCTTCAGGGCATGTCTTGCAGTATTCTTTCTTCTGAGAAGTCAGTGATCAAGCCTTTAGCCTATGCACAAAATAGAAAAATTACTGGTGCACAGAGCATGTGTTGTTTTGCTGCAATAAATAGCCTTCATTTCCACTGGTATGGTGCTTATCTAGTTGTAAATTCGTTACAGATGATGTGTCCTGGTTTTGGCTGGGACAGAGTTGACTTTCTTCATAGTAGCTAGTGAGAGGCTGTGTTTTGGATTTGTGCTAAGGCAGCTGATGACACACTGATGTTTATAGCTGCTGCCAGGACAGTCAAGGACTTTTCAGCTTCTCTGCTGTGCCTGTGTCTGCAGGTGCAGGAGAAGCTGGGAGGGAGCACAGCCCCAATTACTAGCCTGGGATTCGACCTGAGGTTTAGGATTGAGACACAAATTGGCCAGTGGTATATTCCATCTCATGCATGTTATGCTCAGTATAGAGATGAGGATCTGTCTGGAAGAGCTACCTCTAGCTCCAGGTTGTCTTCCTCTGGGTTGCCCCTCTCTCAAGGTCATCATGGTCTCTCGGTCAGCTATTGGTCTGTCAGATGTTCAGGCTTGTATCTGTTTTCCGGGATTGTGGTTTCGGGACTCTCCCTGCTCTGGGATTGTTAGCTGGGAACGGGCTAGAGCCTTGGTCATTGCGTGGTGAGCGATTTCACTGTGTATCACTCATTTGTATATTTGTATAAATTCCTATTATTATCATCATTATTATTTTCAGTTTTGTTGTAGGTTAGTTATTAAATTGTTTTGTTGTAGATTAGTTATTAAATTGTTCTTATATCAACCCATGAGTCTCCTTTCCCTTTACCTCTTTATTTCTCTCCCCTGACCCACAGAGCAGGGAGGGGGAAGGTGAGTGAGCAGTTGTTGTGGTGTTTGCTTGCTGCTAGCTGGGTTCAAAACCACACTACTTTGTTAGAGATAAACAAAGATGTAGAGAACTTTTGAAGAAAGAGACGACAAGGCCCTTAACCTTGGGCAAGAATGAAAAGTAGGTTTTTCAGTGTGCCAAAGATTCAAATCATTGCCTTCTTAATAAATTATCTATATGTGTACATATTTTATATATGTGTGTGTGTATATATATAAAAAAATACACTATATATGTTGTGTATTTTGGGGTTAGATTTCAAAACCGTATACTAATTATATCTGCAAAGCAAAATAGAATAGCAAATTAATTACAGGTAATGAAGAGTAATGAATTAAATGTGGATCAAAGACCTTATTTTGTCAAGTTGATGTGAAGTACTGCAGGAAGAAAGTGGTTTACAGGCTGTGTGTTTGGGTTGTGTAACAGTTAAGTAGCACTGCTGCAGATAGTAGTGAGAGATGCTATGGAAAGTTGACGTGGAGGTGTTTGGAGTCAATGAGTAGCTTTAAAAAAGAAGTCTTTGCAGGATTGCTTCTTTCCAGACAGTCAACAAGCATGCACTTGGGCTGTAATTAACAGTGTTTTGGGTGCATTCTGATAATAAAATGTATCTCTACTGGGGAAAACCATGAATTCATATTACTTCTTCATTGGCAATCTATACTTAGCATTAGGAAAATCTTTGTTCCTTGGGCTGTAACTTTTGGCATGTGCCCTGTTTTTGTTAAAATGGCCATATCCAGTTTATTGAGAATAGTTCAACCTATGAAAAAACTGATCTGTGGTACTAAGCCTTTAATGGATTCCTTTGACAATGAATCACCCATTTGAATTGAAACATTTCACCAAAAAGGAAATATCAGAATAGACTGTTTTCCATAAAATGTTAAGCCCTGTGGAGTCTACCTTTCTTGCTATAAAATCATAAATTTTTCCTGTCTATGAATCCATTGATGTTTAAAATGCAACCACAAGCTCATCATGATCCTCAAACTTGGAACAAATTCTCACTGATGTATTGGAAGGGGATCCCCTATCAGTAATTTCAGAACCAGTTTAGATTAAAATGAAAAATTTTGAGGCTTTACAATCTAACAGAATGCTGCTGTTACTTGCTGTTGCTAGTTTCTTTAATTAACTAAAATAGCTTTTAGTCATGTAGTCTTTTTTTAAAGAGAGTTTTTCCAGCAGTATTTGCTTGCCTTCCTAGGATGCCATTTGAAGACAGTTTAAAGCAACATCAGTTGGGGTGATTATAATCCCATTGACAGTCTCCCGTGCCTCAGTAAGAGCACTTTGACCCCTCAGTGTGTCAGATCAGGGAGCGAAACCAACTCAAAGCTGTCTGCAAAAAAAGACTTTTTTTTTTTTTTTTTTTTTTTCCATTTGGCACTTCCAGCTGCATCACCACAGGGTCAGATGAACAGTAGTCTCCTTAATGAGTGAGGGAGCAGGAATTTGTAGCTGAGACAGGAGACTGGAGTTTAAATTGGTCTGAATTGTTCTGGAACCATAGCCAAAGTTATAGTATATTCCAGTGTACAAAGTCAGCCTTGTGCTTTTAAAACTTGTTGGCATTATATCCTATCTTTCAGTACATTTCAGCTATGAAAAAGGAAAAAGTTATTATATATTAAAATTTAGGATTTGGGTGTTTCTATGCTCATATGCTCCCATTTGCTATTCACGTCCTGTTTGCAGAAGCTTCCAAGCGAAGTAGACGAGTTTACTGCTCCTAACATTCTCAGTCTTGGTAGTGGTGCCAGGGAATTTGTGCACTATTATTGCCAAAGATCAAGAACTGCATGAAAATATGTTCTCAATAGATTTCAGTGTTTTAGCAAAGTTTTTTAGATGTGGAAGGCTAGGAATATAAGCATGGTGTTTGACATACCTAGACTTAGATGATGATCCTGGCATGGTTGATTACCCTTCATTCTTCCAAGTAAGGTACTGTAATTTGGGTTGAATGCTGTTTTCTCTGTGGGTGGTGAACAGAGAACGGTTAGATGAAAGTAAAATCCTGAAATGAGATCATGTCTGCTTTGTGTGGACCTCAGATTCCGTGGAAGGTTGGATTAATAAGTGGTACACACCTCAATACTTGAAATTATGGGAAAAAGGTGATCAGTAATTCAAACACTTTCTCTTCAGGTATAGAATTGTGCAAGGTTTGGAGAACTCTATACTAGAAAATTAAATTTAAGAAAGGTGTTACTTCCATGTTTTACAGAGTATAATTATCCATTTTGAAAAAGAATAAAAGCTGTAGTGCAAAGATGCAAACGCAAGGTTATTTTTAAACTTGTCTGGTTGGTCCTCCAGTATCTGAACATAATCACATTAAATAAGAAGATCATGTCTTGCTCATAATTGCTGTAACAGCAGACACATGCATGTTCCTGTACATTTCAGTAGAAAACAATTAATCTAAGCCATAACTGAAGTAATGGTATTGCTTTGGAATTAAATGTACAGTCAATTAACAGCTAGTATATAATAGCTTAAACAGCTCAAACCTGATTACAAAAATCTGTGTCTGCTTCCTTAATAAACAAATTATGGTAACATTAAAAAAAAAATTGTTTCTAGGGACTAAAAAATATAATACATATTTTTGTATTTTAGTCTATTAAAGCCAAAACTCTAGCATCCAGTATTTTATGTGATATTTAAAAGAGCATAAGGTAAAACTATTGCTTATCGACCAAGCTAAGAGGGGGAAAAATACCATTGTCATGCTAAAATCTTATTACATTTGGAAAAACAACATAAAAGCAAAACTGCAGTATATGAGGAGGCAGATCTTCAAGACAGATCTTTTTAGAGTAAACATACAAACTTAATCCAGTATGTTCCAAAACAAGAATTTTTAGTTGGGCAATTCCAGCAAGCGTAAATGTTACTCTTATTGGGAAGTAAAGAGCACTGAGCATTTCTCATTGAATTTGTTGGTGATTATTACTGCTTAAGTCTTTTTGATCATGGATCACTTCTCTCAGAGCCTAGCTTTAAGTTCTGGTCATTGAAATCTAGTCTTGACTCCTCCCTTTTCCCTTCCCTCCTTTAAAAACACAGCAAAACACTTGGTTGAACATGCACCGTGAAATTCAGTATAGAAATCCTTTGTCTTCAAAAGTTGTTTTTTTGTAGTTCAGCATGTACTTTAGGAATTAACTGTGTATTTCTGACAGGAGGAATCTCAACTATTTTTCCAATGCCTATGCTGCTGCAGTCAGTGCTGTGGACCCAGATGCTGGAAATGGAGAACTCTGCATTAAGGTTCCCTCGGAGCTGTGGAAACATGTTGATGGTAAAGAGACCACACTGAAAGCTTAATTTAAGGTTCCGTGGAGTTGTTAGCTATGAGTTCACACAGGAAGACAGTTGATTTAAATAAACAGAAGCAGCATTACATTATGAAATGGTGGTTAATCTTTCCTTTTTTCCTCAACTGTATCTTTGCACTTCTAGGTAATATGGAGAAGTGGTTCCAGTGTTCTAACCACCCTTTACAAACAAACTCTTGGGTGGTCATGAGCCCAGAATTATACAAGAGGATGTGGGTGTAATGGAGCATGTTGGGTGCTAAATTATATTGTTTGAAGCTGCCTACAATATACATGAGCCAACGAAGAAGATAATTTACAAGGATATTGCTATATGCTTGTTATTTAAAAAGCTATATTGATTTTTTTTCCCATCTCACTTTGAGGAATGGTTGGTTTAAAACTGATTCAATAGTGAAAAGTAGAGTACTTTATGAACTGGTATACTAGATCCTGGAACAAGTAACTTTTTAAATAAATTACCCTCCAACACTGATTATTTTCTTACATTGATTTTATTAGTTTCTTGTATTGGTTTCCTTATATGGTTTTACCATTTTTGCCCATGGATTTGTGAGACGTGAGAGAGAAAAAACAACTATATAATGAAGCTGACTCACACACCTTAATGGGAAAGACACTTGTTTCTTTAAATTTTTGTTTTAAGTTCTGTTGTGTTACTTGCAAACCTAGAAGGGGCATTATGCAAACAGGTATGATTTTTATTTTCAAAGTTTGAATGGCAAAATATGGTGAGACTTGTTGGATAAATTTCACCATATGCCTGAATTTCTTTTCTTGCCAGCCTATTCATAGGTGAGATTTCTGTGAAACTAAACCAAAGCAAAGACACTTCAGTTACAGGAAAAGCTTTAACTATAATAAGAGGTGTTAAGAAACTGCAAATGACAATAGCATGTCTTTTAAGAATGTAACTGTTACATGCAGTTTTTGTAGAAAATATTTAATCAAGATACAGAGGAGGTCATGGTTAGGGTGCAATTACTGTGTAAAGATTCTTTGCTGTTGGGGAGCTGGAAGATGAAATGTAACTCCAGTTGCAGTTTTTATTAATTAATAAAGATTCTTATAAATTTCATATCCGTTTTGTAAGCTTTTGAGCCGTGCTTTGTAAGTGGACCTGGAGGTCCATGAGAGCGAAGTAAACACATAATCTTGAAAGACCAAGAGTCCAAAACTGAATGATTATTCTGAAATAGCTTTCCTGTGTATATTTCCTCTAATTTTGGTCTTGGTGCTGCAGAGTTAAAAGTCCTGAAGGTGCATATAAACTTTTCTCTGGACCAGCCAAAAGGAGGCCTTCATTTTGTGGTACCCAACATGGAGGGCAGCATGGCAGAAAGAGGGGCTCATGTCTTTTCATGTGGTTATCAGAATTCTACAAGGTAAGAAAACTGTCTTTGAATGTTAGACTGTATTTCCTATTTAATCTCAAAGGGTAGGAAATGCAAGAATTAGAAGGAATTGTTTGTAAGTTTGAAAACTTCTAAAACTTAATTTGTGCTTGAAAGGAGCTTACTGATGTGAAGTAGCATCTAATGAGTAATTAGGATTTCTAGTCTTTATAGCTCAGCAGGAGGTAGTGGCAAAGGAATTGTAGTGCTTTATGAAATTAATGTATGGGAGGAGTCAGTATGTAAACATTTAAAGTATTTAAGATAGCTTGATACTTGAGAGAAAAATTATCTGTGAAAAGGAGAAGTATAATTGTTAATCATTTTTCCCCCGATCCTGACTTCCCTAGATTTTGGTTTCCTTGTGTTGATTCATATTCTGAGTTGTGTACCTGGAAACTTGAGTATACTGTAGATGCTGCAATGGTGGCTGTTTCAAATGGGGATTTGGTGGAAACTGTGTATACCCACGATATGAGAAAGAAGACTTTTCATTACATGCTGACTATTCCAACTGCAGCTTCTAACATCTCCTTGGCAATAGGACCTTTTGAAATCCTTGTTGATCCATACATGCACGAGGTAATAATCTTCATAGAGGCTTCCTTTTTTTTTTTTTTTTTTTTGTAAAGTATTAGTGACTGTTTCTATGTTGCAACCAGTATATATTGGTCAAATACAGGGATGTCTAGATATGACCTCCATTAGTACAGTTATATGATAAAACTTGTCTCGTAATGCCTGTATTTAAATTTATCTCTGAAGTAAAGCCTTTGAATGAACAATAATTCTGTTTATGCCTGAATTTATGGGGCTAATTTAGTTTGAGTTGGTAACAGCGTATTTCTCAAAATAGCTTTAAACCCATCCTGTTGCTGGTAGTAGATGAAAATTATCTTTATACAGTTGATTAATCTCCTGAACTGGATTTCACATTGAGTTTTCATTCTGAACAGAAAGTTGCCATAATGTTGAAGTCCACCAGTTTATATTGACATCTGTAATTTCATAGTGGGGTAAGGACGCACTTGGTAGACAGGTGAAGTTACCAGTTTACCGTAAAGACTGGCCTGTATATTCTTTTGAAAGCATGTCAGGAAAATACTGGGAAATAGCTGTTTTACTTGATCCAAAGGCAAACATCAGATTTTAGTCCTCAGCAATAGTATTCTGTTGACTTTTTCTGGTGGGACATACTTGTGAAAGATAATAGCTGTTAAAAAAGTCAGTTGTTGATATTTGAAAAACCTAAACTGTTACATTTCTGTAGTGTTTGGCTTCTATAGAGCCGACCTGAAGTTAGATATCATTCTTAACTTGGTTCCTGTGTCACTGCTGAAGTCAGTGTTGTTGGCTGTGTCCTAAGTCTGTGGAAAACACAGTAATGTCAAACGTTACTTGGAGTGTTAGCTGTAACAAGTCTTCCAAACAGGGGCACTGCTTGACTGATTTGAAAATAGCTAATGCTTTATTGCATAAAAGAAAAATATTATCTCCAAAAGACATTGGATTGCAAAATCCAAGAAAAATGTCAGGTGTTTTTACACGATAGACATTGCTAGGTAGACACTGTTATTGTGCGTTGTCTGCTAAAAATTACTTTCCTGTTGCTCTCACAATTAAGATGGACATCCTGGAGCACTTTTCTGCCGTGGTAGTCATCATCACAGATTGAAACTGCTTTTTTCTGTTAAATTTACAGCAACTATATTTTTGTTGTGTTGCGGGCTTTCTTTTACTGTTATGTAACAAACTTGATATTTATGGATTTAAATGTATTTGTCAGCCTTGTACCTAATTTTCCTTTGTTTGTAGGTGACTCACTTTTGCTTACCACAACTTCTCCCATTGCTCAAACATACCACGTCATACCTTCATGAGGTGTTTGAATTTTATGAGGAGATTCTTACCTGCCGCTACCCATACTCCTGTTTCAAGACTGTTTTTATTGATGAAGCTTATGTTGAAGTAGCTGCTTATGCATCCATGAGTATTTTCAGGTTAGTATTTGAGAAAATTACACCTTCTAAATCTGCAGGCTTGGAAGCTCTAGACCCAAGACTATTGAGAAATATGTGAAGCTCTTACTATTTTTATAGCCAGAGTTTTGGGCTCTCTAGTTTGAAAAGGCTGGCTTTTGTTGTCATTGCAGGCTTTTAACATCATTTCCAATTTTATCTGTTATAAAGATGTTGGATCTGTATCTCCTGTAGGAAAAAAATCATCAGTGGTTTTCTTTATGAATTAGAAACACCATGCATGAAATTTTTAAGACCAAGTTAAATGCAGATTTGATTATGTTTTATTTTTCTTCAGCTAGGATAGGGTACTAGGAGTCCAAAAGAGTTTCACTAGTTAAAACAAGCTCCTTTGGCTCTACACAGAGTTGTATATAGATTATAATAGCAGATCTGCCTGGGTTAAGGGTATTAGGAAAAAAAAATCTTACTATCTCACTGGAAAACTGGTGAAGGAATTATTTTATTTGGTTTTGCTTTTAAAGCAAGGTCTCTATTTAATTTCTTTGGAGCTTGTGCTCATATTGTCTTATTTTCTTTTTATGGGGGTCCAGCACAAATCTCTTACACAGCGCAATGATTATAGATGAAACTCCACTAACAAGGAGGTGCTTAGCACAGGCCCTGGCCCAGCAGTTCTTTGGATGTTTTATATCCAGAATGTCTTGGTAAGTATTTTACCATCGTACTCTCTAGAAACTGGGAAAATCTAGGAAAATAAAATTCTAGTTTGCATGTTTCATTTTATCAGAAGAATAAGTGCAACAGTAACTGTAGAAGAAAGGAGAAAAAAAAAAGGGAAGAATAATAAAACCAGCTCAATAAATGAAAATCCATGAGATTTTTTGTTTGTTTGTTTGAGAGGAGAATGTGAGATACAAAGGTTCCAAAGACTGTAGCAATTGAACATGCATTCTCTCAGAAATTGTTGTTACTGAATGTTGTAGTGTGCTTAGGCACCTGGAAAATTAGATGGGAGACTCTTATATTGTCAGTAAATTTCTGTCAGATGTTTTGGATGAAGAAGCATAGTCTGCATGGGAAGTACTTGTGGAGCACAGAACTAATGAATTACAAAGAATTTCAGGGAGTGGAATGCAGCAATTGGTGTCAAATGGGCACATTCACTGGGGTGGTAAGCTGCCTTTAGCTCCATCCCTCAGAAAATCTCCTGCAACGGGCTCTTGCAGTTCTGATCAGTGTTTATTTTAAAGCCTTTTACATACACTTTATAAATCAGGGAAAAGGAGCCCATTACTTTTTTCATGGCAAAGTGTATTTCCCAGAGTATCCTCGGCTTAAAGAAAAAGAAACCAAGTGTTTTGCAATTGATGATTGATTTTGCTATTATAGTTTCTCTTGCTCTCTTTCTTATTTCTAGTCTACTTCCATTGTGAAGATAATTTTTTCCTCCCTCATAAGGACTCCCTTTGTGTCTTTATTAATTTCATCATATTCTGTATGTCATTCTTACATTTAGAATTCTGTTTCATTATTATTTTGTAGTTTTTGTCCGTATTTTTCTCTCTTAGAACATAACTCTCAAAGAGGTGTTTAAATGGGTGTCCACCAAATTGTGAGATAGCTATTTTGTCTACTTGCTGTCCAAATCTTTTGCATTCCATTGAGATTTTTATTAAAAAATTAAGATCATATAGATTAGCAGTTATTTTAACTTTAGTGTCCTTTTCCTCAGTTTTATTGTTACTGTTTCAGCTAAAATAGTTTGGTTTTATATTTTTACCTGTGCTTCTGTGGTAAAAGTTCAGTTTTCACTGGCTTTTCATTTTCATCAGTCCCATCCAGGTGCCAAGTTACATAAATTGGTTCACAGCTCATCAGACTCCTATTGACTTAGAGAAGTTGTTATATAACCTGCTGAAATTTGTGGCTATTTTGAGCTGGTCAAAAATACCACTCCTTACAAAATACTTTCTGAAGTGCTATAATTCATGCTTCTTTCTTGCTATAGGTCAGATGAATGGGTGCTAAAGGGAATCTCTGGTTATATTTATGGCCTTTGGATGAAAAAAACCTTTGGTGTTAATGAGTATCGCCACTGGATTAAACAGGTAACAACATAATAGTAGTATTTTCTATATCTTTCAGACATTTTACATCAAAGAAGATGCAATATAAAACCAGAATATAACATAGATTTGCATTGCAATACAAAGAAATGTTTAGTCGTGATAAAATTTAGAGCTAAAATATTTTTCCCACTTGCTGCAAGGAAAAACGCCAAACATACTAACCAAAGTGTTTCTGCAACTGCCTTATGAATGCTAATTTTCATTTATCTGTCTGTGCAATTAGTTTTCTTCTTTATGTTTGGCTTTTACACAAAAACAGAAAGAAAAAGTCAAAAAAGATTGTACTTTTTTAAACATTTAAAATGGAGTATGGGGTTCATAAGGAGATACATTTGGTGAACTTATACAGTGATGACCATCCAGCACAGGAAGGATATGGACCTGTTGGGAGTGGGTCCAGAGGAGAGCCACAAAGATGGTCAGAGGGCTGGAGCACCTCCCCTGTGAGGACAGGCTGAGAGAGTTGGGATTGTTCAGCCTGGAGAAGAGAAAGCTCTGGAGAGACCTTCTAGCGGCCTTCCACTTCTCACTTAAAGGGGGCTACAGGAGAGATGGGGAGGCACTCTTGATCAGGGAGTGTAGTGATAGGATGAGGGGTAACAGTTTTAAGCTGAAAGAGGGTAGATTTAGATTAGATGTTAGGAAGAAATGTTTTCACTGTGAGGATGGTGAGGCACTGGAACAGGTTGTCCAGAGAAGCTGTGGATGCCCCATCCCTGGAGGGGTTCAAGGCCAGGCTGGATGAGGCTTTGAGCAACCTGGGCTAGTGGGAGGTGTCCCTGCCCATGGCAGGGGGTATTGGAATTATGTGATCTTTAAGGTCCCTTCCAACCCAAAACATTCTGTGATTCTGTGATAGCTCAGAAGGGCTCCAGTATTAGCTTAGATCAATAGTGGATCAGGTATCTTTTAATATTTAAGTACTAACTTAAATAATGAAGCAGTAAAAAAATCCCTGTTGAAGGAATTTCCTGTCTTGGAAAATAAATTTCTGTCTATACCTTATATTTCCAAATGTAATGCTCTGAGACAGGTACTTTCTAGTAGTAGTGACTCTTCATTCTTTACAAGTAATATTCATTTACAGAAAGATGTATATGTTCCTCCTCTCCCTTTCATCACATTCTCTTACCCTTCCTCTTCCAAAAACTAGGTTCCTAACCCCATGAGCTCCATTTATGTCCCTTAGTCACATGATGACCCAATATCATATCTTTATCTGCCTCAAATACATTCAGCTCACCGGTCTTGTGCTGTCTGTGCTAAAGGTGTGGGTACTATAGAAAACAGCAGAACTGGATAATAAAGCTCTACCTGGGAGTTCACTGCTGCATGCAGCAGAAATTGCTCATGTTCTTCTCTAGGAGTTGGCTAAGTGCTTCCACATGGAACTAAAAGGTGCTGCTGTCACTGGCAGCCTCTGGTTCTGCCTGTACTGCTTTGATTGTATTGTCAATGTATGAAAGTGTGTAAGTTGATATGAATCAGTAAATATCAATACATGTCAACATTTAGAAATTCCTTGACTAACAGTGGGTTGCAGACAGACATCAACTCACTCTCCCTATGCTGAAGCTGACTTGATTTGGTTCAAAAGCCATGTTGACTGTTGGGCGGTAGTCCGTGCCAGCAGCCTGCCTTGAAGTTTGGTTGTTAACATGGGTACAGCACAACACATTCAAACTCGTGTTTCAGTTCAGAGCCAGCTTCTGTCTGGCTTGGGCATGGGTCAAGGTGAGCTTCTGTATACTGCAATCTACTGTGTAGTTACAACCAGTCTTTCCAGTGCAAGGAAATGTTAATCACTTTTATTCCTTTTGGTCAGAGACAACTTATTTATTGAACTCTTTAGAGTTAAGTATTTAAGTAGTTAAGTATTATAGTGGGCTGACCCACAATCCAGATCAAGAACAAGTATTAACTGCTAATTTCTTCTGTTGTATTATTTTTCGCCCTGCTGAGGAACATGTCTGATTTTAAAATGCTCTTTGTGTTTGTAAACAAGTTTAATTAGGGGGTATGGCTTAAAAAATGGTATGAAAGACTTTCCTGTCTTCTTTAAATAATTTCTCTACTTTTCAAAATTATGCTTATTTAGGTATGTTGTACTTTTTAGGAGTTAGATCAAATAGTGGCGTATGAACTGAAGACTGGTGGAGTTTTACTGCATCCAATATTCGGAGGAGGAAAAGAGAAAGACAAGTATGTTTATTTAAGCCGCAAGTCATTACAGAGTATGTTTTTATGGGGCCATTAATATATGCCTTGGGTGTGTTGAGTAGCACCAGGCCAAAGGCTTAAGAACTTCAGCTGTCCATGTGTTGCCAATCTCACAAAGTACATCTTGAGTATATTGTATCACTGTAGTTTTATTTTTTTTTTCACTTTAAATCTTGACGGGAATTAAGTATTATGAATGTCTCCAATGCTGTTATGAGACTACCTGAGCTATTTCTGGAGTGGTTAGTAATCTTTGGGCTTTTTACAGTATCATCAGTTTTCTTTTTCTTTGCTGTTTTTTTTCTTTCTACTCTCAGTTACCAATTTGCAATCTTATACTGAGATTTCTTATCAATTGGGAAAAAAAAGTATTAGATCAGTCATCTGTGAAGTACTGTTGGGAACTGTGAACTGGATGGGTTTGTATTTTCCCAATTACTTTAGTTTCAGTATTGCTTGTTGAGGAGTTTTCCCTTTACCTCTTTTGTGATACTCCTGTACTACTAGCACTGGACGGTGCTAACCACCAGGGATAGAAAATTATCAGTAGAAGTCAGATCAGTAAGTTAATTCAGATTTCAGTGACAACCTTTTACTGGATTTTTCTTTTATTGGATAAATTAATCTAGTTATTAACCTAGTTACTCTTTGCAAGCTCTTGAGCAGCATTTGCAAAACTGTGAGGCTGATCACATACAGGTGGGGTGGGAGAATATGTGAATTTCTTCAGTCTTTGCTGCGGCAGAGCCCCTGTATTATGAAAATACAACCAAAACTGTCTGCAGCAGTGGCTCTTTTTGCATTTGACTGTGTGCACATCCAGATTTTGTTCATTTAAAATTAAAACTCTGGATGTAGAACTGAATTAAGTATACAAATAACCCATTTAAAATTTGAATGGTGGTCTTTTTTTTGCGAGATGAAAAAGAATAAAGTGTTTTCTGAAATCAGGAATAGGACATACTGGCTAGTTTCCCAGCCAGGAGAATCTTCAACAGCTACGATGTTTTCTGGACATTGACAATCACAGATGCAGCCTGTGTGTGTATGCACACCAAACCATTATTCAGTTTTGCTTATCTGCTCATGATAGATTTTGATTTAGTTCACTGTCCTGTTCTTTCAAGTAGTGAAGCAGACCAGGTACCTGTATGCGTTTGTTACATATACCTCTGAAAAGCAAGTTAGAGCTAGCAGCAGTCATTTTAGGGCATCCTGTTGGTGAAGATATCTCTTTTTAAAGAAAATTTGGGGTACTGAATTAGGTCTTGGCAAACTTTTTAGTTGGCAGCATTACAATTTAGCAACATACTCCCCTATACAGAGAAACTAAATTCAGATTAATGAGATCAGATGAAACTAGAGAAAAAGGACACATTTAGAAAAAGGAAATTCACTAAAATAGAAGTCTCTTTATAACTGCTGGTTTTATTAGTTTTATTGCATTTGTTCTAAAATTGCTCAAATAATTGTGCAAGTAATTGACAAAATCCTGTTCTAATGTTCTTAAACATATGTTTCCTCTATATGATGTATCGCTGTTAGAGGCTTTTTCTACAGCTATTTCACTGCTTCATGGTATTACAGCTTGTTAATAAATAATAACATCACTTAAATATAAATTACAACTTGCTGTTTCTTGTAGATTGCAAAGTTCCCTTGTATGTAAATTAAGTATATGTTCCTGACACTGGTCTCTCAGATTCTTCCTGTTTATGTCTGGTGAAACACAAGCACTGCTCTCCAGAGTACTTAGTTAAAAAGAAAAATATCACAGAGCTTGGGAAAATGAAAGAAAGGAAACTGCAGGTTAACTACTGTATGGATGAAAGCTTCAAAACAAAGCTTTGTGTATTATGTTTTCATTTTATGTTCTCCCCTGTCAGTTTTTGGTTCTCTTCAGTCCTTGATTGTGCTGGTACCACCCCGTTGTAAAAATTAAAAACCTCAATAAATTTATATAGATGTATTTCAAATGTAAGAAGCATATTGACAGGTTTACATTGAATGACCAGAATGTTGTTGAGAGCATGAGCGTTATAAATTTCCATGGAACAGCTAGTTCAGTTTTCACTTTGACAAAGGTTCTGGGTCCATATTGCTAATTTTAATTCTCAGGTGGTGCCAATTCAATAAAAGTTTTAGAAGTATAACGATTGAAGAAGAATATAATCGGAAGAAATGTATTAATATTGAATGAACTGCCAAACATAACTGTCAAATGCAAACTTGTCTCAGTTTTGATTTTCAGTTAAATAAGGTAACCAGTACCAAAATCAATCAACACTTAGTAAATTTAAGAAGGCCAAGAATGTGGCTCCTGGCTTGGTTGTAATTTTCAAGAAAAGAATTTTACCAAAGTCAATCAACTGTATAATTTGAAGCTGGATAAATAATTTTTTATACTGAGACCAAATTATTATGTAATGTCTGAGCCACAACCTCAGTTTCCTCCTTCCATTTAAATTCTTTCGTGGTTCCTAACCCTTCCCTACCTTGGAATAGAGAAGTATCCAAAATAACAGGACAATTTTGATAAGGAGAACTTTACCAATTGCCTATCAACTAGAAACAGCAAGTAGTAAACTTGCTTATTCATATAGAGTCTACCTAAGAAAGGTAGTGCTTGCTTAAATTTAGAAATGCTCTTTTTTATATCTTCTTAAGATGTTTAAACAGGCATTCATGATTAAAGTCAAGGGAGTCTCTCAGTGAATAGAAGGATGGAAAAAATTATTAAGCTTTGGAGCTACCTTGATTCTTGCCATCTCCTGAAACCTTGAGAACTGCAGATCAGGAGCCAAGTGATGGTCCTGCTCTGGTGGAACACTTCTTGCTGGCATACGTCTGTTGATTGTGTAGAAAGATTAGTCAAAATTAAGGTGGTTTGTTTAGTAGGTTTTTTGAAGGTTTTGGAAGATCAGTCTTTTCCTGAGATAGCTGGCATAAAGATCAGGCTTATAGCACTTATCTTTGATTGTTACAATTCATGGATTATTTCATTCTGTCTTGCAGTGTCTTTTTCTAAGGTCTTTGGATAAATTAAGTGCCTGGTCCATCTGGAAATGGTTTAGTTAGGATATCTATAAGCAAGAATCACAGAGGAAGAATAGAATTTTGAGCCCAGAAATTTTAAGTAGCTGGTATTTTCTGTGTCACAATGGCTAATTTGTGATTCTCCACTAACCAGCATAAAATAAGTCTGGATTCCCACTTCTTAAGATGTTGGCCTGACATGGTGTGAGTCCACTTTCTTAAGAGGTTTTTTATTTGTTCATGGAAAACTCAAGTGTCCAGTGAAAAGAACTGAAAGGAAAAACCGCACAACAAAATACAGTTGCCACAGCCTTGGTTCATCAATAAAATTAAGTCAGACTCCTGATTATTGCTACTTCTCAAATAATTGGAAAGGAGCAAAAGGTCTTATTTTTCTCGAGAATTACAGTGTTATAGCTACTTTTCTACTTTCAGCTGGGCTATAGGTCAGAATCTTTGTGTTCTGAAATGTAAAACTTAGTGGAGAAAATTAATTTTAAAGCCCATCAAAATTAAGTCTCTTGGTATTCTATTGTTGTACAGCCTCTAAGGCTATCCAGAAATCAGTTCTCTTTTTGAAAGTTTCAGGTTTTCACCAACTCTCTCCCTTCTGATATGGAATGACATTAAACCATTTGAAATATTTTGCTTATAGACACAAAGGGTATGTGTGAAGGAGCACCACAGATAGTTCAAGTTCTGGAAACAGTGTGGCAGTGGTAACATGATGCTCTCCCTAGTCTTCTTTGGCATATTATCTGATTTAAAGACATCAGTTTGCCAAAGTATTGAAAGCATAAAGATGCCAACTAAAATAAAAAACAAGCAATTCCTTTGGCTCATCACTTGAAAATCTGGTGTGAATTTTAAAACTCTTGTTTTTCTTTAATTGCAACAAATATTTATTTAAATATAAGATATTCACTATGTACAATCACTTTTAAGTAGAAGTGGAGCAGGGGAAATGTCAATTAATGAGTAATTTGCAGACTCAAGTCACAGATTCCTTGCTCTGGTTGCTGCTCCTACCAGTGTCTTTACAGTAATACACAGCATGTATTTATTACCTGCCATTCTCTATAGAGTACTTGCTGTATGCCGGGTACATACACCTGTGTCTTTTCTGTACACGTATGTGGCCATTTTAAGCATGTTATAATTTATGACTTTAAAACAGTGGAAGAGATAGTAAATAGTTGTTGGTGCAGCTATAATGTTGGTTGCTAAGGTATGTTTTAAGTTCCATTCCATAAAATGCAAAATAGAGAGCTGTTGGGTTTTCTTTTTATTTTTTCAGCCCTGCATCACATTTACATTTTTCTATCAAACACCCTCATACACTCTCCTGGGAGTATTACACTATGTTCCAGTGTAAAGCACATCTTGTTATGAGACTGATTGAGAACAGAATTAGCATGGAGTTCATGTTACAGGTAGGTATTTAAATTATTATGTGGAATATACACAAGTTTTTGTCTTTAGCTGCATTTCTGTTCATTCATGGAGTTTAAGAAAGAACAAAACAGATCATCATAGGATTCCATTTGTATTTTCAGTTTAAACAAGATCATTTGTGTTAGGATAAGGTTAGCTGTTACTCTGATACATAACTTATAATACTTTTATATATTGCATATTCTCTTTGATGTTAAGGTATTTCATTGTTTTGTGTTATCATGGCCGGTTGTTAACACTGAGGGCCCGTTTTACTGACCCTAACTGGTGTTGCTGTGGGCTAATCTAATCGAATTATAAATAATGCAAATAATGAGAATCCAGTTTCTGCTCTCTCCACTGTATAAAATTTTCAGTACTAGAGGGAGCATATATCTTTATATTAGAAGAAGCAGTTGGATAGAAGATTGTGGTTTTATTCTGAAATGCTAAACTTCTGTCGAGTTGTGGTTTTTCTTCTTTACTAAAACATTTTGTGGCATGCCTTAAAGAAGATAGGGTGCTATAAACAAACACCCAGTTAGAAACTGAGTGGTACCTTTTCCTATTGTTTGTTAAGTGATTCCTTTTCCTTTTGTTTGTTTTGTTTTTTTAAGGAAAACGTGAATGTGCTTGTGCCAGAACTATTACAAGCTGCTGTCAGGTTGAAATACAGCAGATGCACCTTTTTTAAAGCTTTCCTTACATAAACTTTAATTATTGTTTGCAATTTTTAAAAAGGAATAGCAAAGCAGAGAACCTGATGACTGTTTTATTTCTAAAAAGCAGATATAGTCAGTGATCTGTTTTACTGTAGATAATTTTTGAAACCTGATGGTCTTTTAATGGATTTTGTTTGTGCAGATGTATACGTAACTTCAAGGAAGTTGGTTCTTTAAAAAAGCTCAGGTGGAAAGAATTGATTAAAAATGCACCCCTAACTCCCCGCATTATAATTTGGTCAATGAAGGCCACACCTTCTTGCAGTGACTAACCTCATGAATTACATAGTTTTGAAATATAGAGGTGCTTAGATCTAGAAAATGGATGCCAAGGCATGTTTCTGTATTCCACGCTGAATTCGGCTCTGTTAAGAAACGGCATGATAAGTTGTGCCTGTAGCAGTGATAAGCAAATAAGACATTTTTAGTTTAATATTGTGTTACCATTAACCATTTCTCATATTAAGAAGATGGGGTTTCAGACCTTTCTCGGCATCGTGGATGATTTGCCTTAAGTAAAAATACATTTGTGTCTGCAAATCACAATTTCTGATATGGACAAGCAAATAATTTTCTGAAATGTCTTTATTTTGAAAGACTATTTTTGAGGCCAGCTATCAGATAATGAGTGTATTTGCCTTTAGTTGTAATTCAGCTGAAGCTAAACAGAAAAGCTTATTTTATTTATTAAAGTATTTAGTGAAAGTAGTAACTTTTTATCATTTTAGGTTTTCAACAAGTTGTTGAGTCTGGCCAGCACTGCTTCATCTCAGAAGTTCCAGTCACACATGTGGAGTCAGATGTTGGTTTCCACATCTGGGTTTTTGAAATCTATCTCAAATGTCTCTGGCAAAGACATCCAACCTTTAATAAAGCAGTGGGTGTATCCTTTTTATTCTTGGTCTGGATTGTTAATATGGAGAATGAACTTGTTTTTTAATTGGCACTATTAAAGGAATGTAAAGAAAGGTATGAAATATTTTTGCTTAAAACAGTTAAGTAGTATTCTTCAAATTAGATATGTATGTGAGCCCCAGGTTTACACTCCTTTCATAGTCAGTTAGAGTATGCTGGCTTTTTTGTGTGTTCTTTACTAGAAGGGATTTCATGATTTTAAGTTTTACTTTGAAAGAAGCACAAGAACTCTGCTGGAATTTAAGGCCAAATTATACTAAAGGGATTCCAGAGGACACTGCCCATAGAAATATGCTGAAGTCTGACATGGAAAATGTTATAGTCTGGTGCATTTTAAGATGTGATTTCCAATAAATCAATGTGAAATAAGTAACCTAAAGCTCAGATTGTTAGTTTAAAATAAACTAACATTTAGTACTTGTGTTAATACAACTTCAGGTAAAATAAATCTCTGTGTGTTTGTTCTTCAAATTTCAGTGATATTAGTCAAGAAATAGGTTTTCTTCTTGTGGATTGATACGAGGGTAGATTTGAATTTTCTCCATTTAACTAGTTTAATTGGTAGTTTTAATTAACATGACTGCAGCAAAACTATACCTTGCTGTTCTAACATAAAACAAAAGTAGGTATTTGTATTTAGACATTTTTTATTTAAGCTGACTTAATAATGTTCACGCATCTCAATATCTAACTAAAAAACACTGTATAATTAATATTTAGAGAGCAATATGAGAAGTTAGTATTTCATCTGCATCAAATGTATTTGTAAAGTATAAATACGCATTATCCTAATTTCCATACTTAGCTGTGCCAAACATTTGAGAAAAATACGGGTTCTATATGTACATATGTTCACACTGCAACTATACCTAAATGTCAGCATTACTCTGTGAGCTGGGTGAATCTTAACTACATCAGTTCCATAAGCAAGGAAGAATTTTAACTCAGATTTAGGGATTTTTCAGCTTCTCTGGACTTTGGCTCCAAGGCTGTTCCTGTTAACTGTAACTTGTGTTTAATCCTATGGTTGCAACCTTCCTACCATACTTGAAACGTTGTTGCACCTGTGATGGTAGGTTTTCCACCTTGTAAGACCACAGCAGGTCTTTGCATTGCTTGGGAGGATATCTTATGACTGTTAACTACCGCTATCTTATACTATTAATGAGTGCTGCGTTGATGCTGAGTTTAAACCTTGTGCTGAAGAAACCACTAAAAATGCCTTAACCTGTACCTGATGACAAAGTCCCAGACCTTTATGAAGGCAGACACTGTGAACAGAACCAGTCTGAAGCCAAATGACCATACTTTGGGAGAAAAGTTAATAATGCATGTATGATAAGAAGCCTCTTTTTAATCTTAAATGTCAGGACATGGAAGAACAGGTTTTCCTTCTCTGCTTTTGTCTTATATTGTCAGACACTTGTTGGGAGCATGCACTAGACTAAAATACTTCATTCTAGTGTTTTAGTTTTACTAGAAATAAAGTGTAGTAATGGCTGTCATACAAATAATGCGTGATGAAGTTATTCGCAGGATCAGTTGACTTGAAGAAATTGTTGCCCAGAATAAAAATGCAGAGTGAGATAATTACTTTTTATCAGTCACATTGTATACTTTCATGTGTATGTGAACTCATACGTATGTATGTATATGTGTGTATGTATATATATATGTACATGTACACATACACACACAGGTGAATGCTCACAGTGACCCAGTTTGAAAAACTGGAATAAAGTAATTGAGTTAAATGTAGCATGGGTATTATTATTTAACAGAAATATATAATAAAACAAATAATATTTTAATTACTGAAGTCTTACTTGATTACTTTCTCTGAGAGCATGCCGAGGACATTGGATGTGGTGGGGTACAATATAGCTTTTCATAATGACTTTTTTCTTACTAGTTATTTTTCACTGTACTTCAGTTTTTCTCCATAAGTTACATGATTGTACATTAAAGAACTGTTTAAAGAAAAAAATCTTTAAAAGTTCAGGAACTAACATAAGTGTTGTAATTTCCTGACTTTCTTGGGATAGGAAATTCTAGGAATAAAGAAGCATTAAGTGTAAAGAGTGAAAACATTGAGAATTATATTTGTTTATAACTACTGCATTGTGCACTAGAATTCCTATACTGCTTATTAGGGATCAGAGTGGAGTGGTAAAATTTTACGGTAGCTTTGCATTTAATAGAAAACGGAATGTATTAGAATTGGAAATAAAACAAGACTACACGTCTCCTGGGACTCAGAAATATGTGGTAAGGCCAATTTTCCGTATTTTGCATACACATGGAAGTATGATGTATACATTAATAAGCATAGTTTTAATGTTAATAACAAAATCTTGTGAACCTGAAGGGTCCTCTTAAAGTGACAGTGCAAGAACTTGATGGATCATTCAACCATACATTGCAGATTGAAGAAAACAGCCTTAAACATGATATACCTTGTCATTCTAAAAGCAGAAGGTAAGAATTAAAGTACAAACTGCAAGTATTTTTAGTATACATATATATAGGAAAACATGTAATGCATTGGTGACAAAGATATGCTTTTTAAAGTTTGTGCTTATAATTTGTTAATCTTACTGAATAAGATTTACCTGTGATGTAAGGGAAGAAAATAGACTTTACTACTCTTTATGGACAGCAAGAAACTTTACATTTTATATGCAGTTCTTAATTTTAAGTAAAGGTCTTAAATTTTATAAAAGTTTTATGAAGAGCTATTTTATATAGAACAAGCTGAATGAAGACTCTAATTAATTGAGTTATTCAAAATGCCTTTGAATGAGAAAGACAAATTAGAGAGAAGACAAATGTAGGCCAGAGGAGTACCTCAAGTGAAGACAGATGAATAAAGCACTGGCATAATTTTCCTTTTCTGTTGAGAGTGCCAGGGCTGTTCACTAAACCTAATGAGCAAGAAGAGTAACATACTTCCCAAACAGATTTTTTCAGTTTCCTAATACATTCTCGTAACTGTTTTGATCTCTTCTTCTTAAAGTGTGTAACTTATGTGTAACTGTAAAAATGGTGGGAGTCAAGTTTAAACCAGTGTAAAGTATTGGTGATTATTATTTGAACAAAACTGATGCACAGTTCAACTTTGTGAACAGTTTTTGCTGGAGAGAGCATTTTTTTCAGTGTGGTCAAATACACAGAGTGCTTTTTCAGGCTTAAGCTTCAATTATAAACATGTCTTTGCTAGTATGGCAATTTTTCTAATACCTTTTTTTTCTATTTTCTCTTTTTTAATAGAAATAAGAAGAAAAAGATTCCATTGATGAATGGAGAAGAGGTGGACATGGACCTTTCAGCTATGGAGTAAGTTAGCTTGGAGTTTCTCAGTGTGAGACTGAGCCATGTTCCCCTTGTCTGAAGCATGCTGTTTTGAAGGATTTGATAGTAGTGTTGTATTTCATTATATGACTGGCAAATTTCAAGACTATGCCACATTTCTTTACCTTCTTTTAAGACTTTTCTTCTGTAACTGGGAAGATTCTGGTCAAGTGTAAAATGTATGGGTTAACTGCTCTAACTTAAAAAAAAATCATCTTAGGCCTGATAAGGCGATAGAGTAAATTACTTGATTCTTTCTTACACATTTCTAATGATATCTTCTAGTCTGCGATGCTGTTGTTCTTTTATCCGGTTTGGACTCCTCTGCTCCAAGCATATATGATAGTGTTTGTTCTTTTCTGTTCTTCTAAACCCTGTATATGCACTCTTCTTTTCACTATCCTTTCTTCTCTAGCTACTATCTTGACAGTAATTCTAGATATTCTACAAATGTATATAGAAATACACATCATATTTACAATGATGCTCTTTTCGTCATTTCAAACTCTCTCCTAATTCCATGTCTGTATTTTGCTGTTATCAATTTTGTGTGGAAAACTGAGTAACAGACTTGATTATATAGTTTGTGCTTGTTGCTCCTATGAATGACTTGTGCAGTCATGGTGCTGTGTGAATACTACAGTATAAAAAAAATGAAATACAACCGAGCAATTTTGTCTGTAGGACTAAAACTTTAATCCTGTCTGTTGATACTTTTACTTTTATCGTCATTTGGCTTGGCAGTTCTGTGTATTTGCATGGTTACCCATGTCAGCTTTCAACATCAAAGCATTATGTATTTGTAAAGCACTTTCACATGTGTTGATAAAAAACAGTATATAAAACATGTGGGTGTTTACCACCAGATTTTCTCTGGGGGTTTTTTTGGTGGGGTCGTTTTTTTTTTTTTTGGTAGTCTTAAATTGTAGAAGGTGACGAAGTGCTGGTCACCTGTGAAAGTAATGGTGTCTGAGGAAGTAGAATGAAATATATTGAGATTATACAGAAGTTTACCGTGAACTCAGATCTGTAGGTTAACAATACTAAACCACTGTATTCCCCTTGGCGTATTAGAGGTTTGGACAGATTGCCCTGGGGGGCTACAGAGTTGCCATTCCAGAAGCAGGAGATTGGACCAGGTGACTTTCAGAAGTCCCTTCTAACTTAGATTCTTTTAGGGTTTTTTGACTCTAAATACTTTAACTCATGTCAAGTTAGAACATCTTTGGAATTTCTCTAGTCTTGAAATGTTGTGAGCTATTAATGTTTTTCATGTCTGTTGTAGTGCTGATTCCCCTTTGCTCTGGATAAGAATTGACCCTGATATGTCAGTACTGAGGAAGGTAGAATTTGAACAATCTGATTTCATGTGGCAGTATCAGCTTCGATATGAGAGAGATGTGGTTGCACAAGAAGAAGCCATTCTGGCATTGGAAAAGTTCCCTACTCCAGCATCGCGGCTTGCACTGACTGATATACTAGAACAGGAACAATGTTTCTACCGAGTGAGAATGCTGGCCTGCTTCTGCCTTGCAAAGGTGAGGTTGTATGGATGGGAATAAAGGAAGAAATCCACTAGAGATTGTGAACATTTGAAAATAGGTCAAAACTCATCACAATTCTTTAACTGGCTTGATATTTAGCCTCTTAAAAGTGTTTGCCAAGTATTTTTAACATGACTGATTTGAAGGGAAAGCTGTATTATTTTTGTCTGTAAATGGAGACTGCAGAAGGCTTTCATAATTGTCAAAATTGAGATGTCAGACATGAAAACCACAAGGGATTTTTCCAGATTTCGTTAAGTGGCAAAAATAAAATACTTTTGTTTAATCTTTTTCAGAGCCAAAATGTATTTTTTTAATTTTCCTGGGAAGTTCCTTGGCCTGTCTGTTGAGAACTCTAAAGTGCTGAAATTTATCTGTATGTCTATGTGAATTTGGATTGCTGCTCAGTATTGTTTCAGGTTGAATAGGGGCACAAAATAAACATCATGTTCATCTACAATTAAATATTAAAAACCCAAATAATTGCCTTGAAAAGGGAAGATCTTTTTTGTTTGGACACAAAATCGTCATTAAGATTGAAAATTAGAGAATCCTATAAAACAACTGAGTAGAAACACAGAAGAATAAGAATTTCTGAAAAGGCATGTTATTGACATATTTTATGGACATAAAGGCTCACTTATTTACATTTATAGAGTTTAGGTTATTGGCATATAGCTTGCTTTCTGCCATGTACCTGTTGAGAATAACTCAGTACCTGTACAGAAATAAATGCTTTGACCATGTTTTGAAAACCAAAATCCAATAAATGTGTGTGACAAAGTATTTTAATATTGTGAAACACTAATATTGTGAAACACTGATGTTAAACTGCCAGTGTACGTGCTAGTATCTATACTGCCAGTGTCTGACTTAAAATATGCACGATTCATAATGAATTCACTTGTAATATTTAGAAGTGTACATTCCACAGGTAAATATTAAAAGAGCAGTTGTTACAATGTTTAAATGCAATAGTTTTTTCTGTCTTTGCTTTGAATTCTCAGGCAATTGGGCTGCAGATAATCACAACCAGTTTTGCTCATTTGTAATTGTATGAAAAATCTTGGGTCTACAGATAAGGTTGTTGACTTACTAAAAAAAGATTCTAAAGCTAAGCAAAAAATATGGCTGTGACATTGAATCAAGGCGAAGGAGCACAGCAGGACAGAGTTGTAGATATGTTTATGTAAGTTACCTAGGAGGAAGGTGTAGTATATTCTTTTACTAGTTCCAACATCAGGGTATTGATAAGAAGCACATCCTGTTGTCATCAACTCGGTTTAATTTTCACAGCTTGTAAATATTCAGGATTTGTATTCTTTATTGAAAAAAAGCCACATCCCTCATGACTGTTAGGGGGAGGGTTCTCTTTTTATTCAGTTGTAACTACTGTCTGGATTACAGTTGCTATTGTAAAACGTTCTTGGTTACTCATGTTGATACAGAGAAATGGTAGGTAATAATGCAATTACCAAACTGAAATTACTACACTTTCTAAATGCACAGTGTACTTCATATTAAAACAGCACTTAAGTCTCTCAGGCATAAAGTGTCCAGGTAACATTAAATCTTCATTGATAAAGAAGTTAACAGATGTGTGGGTGTGCGTGGGTTCACATGCACACACTTCGCTGAGTAGTTCATGACAAATAACCTGTCACAGTATTAATTCCTGGGAGTATGCAGACTGATTTTTCCATTCAGATCCATTGCGGTGTTGGTGATGTGCTATAAGGTTTAAAAAAGCAACAATACCACCGCAAGCTACCTGTGCCCCAAACATTGAGGAGTTTCATAGCTGTGCATGACAGTTACATCTTAGGCCAATTTTTTGTGCTATACTGAACTGAAGGATGCGGAAATAGAGTGTACCTACTGGCTTTTTCAGTAGAAATAATGCAGGACAGGCTACTTGCATTATGATGTGGGGAATTAGTACTCACACTGACTGGATGGTCACACTCACAGAGTTGTGGTCAATGGCTTGATGTCCAAGTGGAGACAGGCAGGGGTCCGCAGGGGGCCGTACTGGGACTGGTGTTGTTTAACATCTTTGTGAGAGACATGGACAGTGGGATGGAATGCACCCTCAGCAAGTTTGCCGATGACACCAAGCTGTGTGTGTGCTTTAGTTCGAAGACTTCTGTTGTTGCAAAGGGAACATCTAGTCTCACTGCAGTATTTTCACTCTCTCTGACTTCCCTTTGAAGGCTGACTTAGGGGGAAAATGGTTTTCAGTAATAAAGGACTCACCCTATGTAAGAGCAATGGTGAAGTGGATTGCTACCTGTCTAGGTAGCCTCTTGCTTTTCTTTCCCTTATTGCATACCCTTTGAAACAAGCTAAATAATTTAGAAGGAAATTATACAATTCATTTTCTTCTGTGTGAAACCAGATTTTTCCTTAGTTTGTGGTGGGTCTGTAACAATGGAAACTCCTGCTACATGGTAGGATGCATTGGCCCCATTTGGTTCTGCACACACACACAAATACGGATTCTGTCATCAGGCTTAATCCATCATCAGGCATAGGTGTTCTTGTCTGCAGGCTTTCATTGCTCCACACAGCAAATGTATGAAACCCAAGATGCTGGGAAGGTACAAAAGCAAGTTTTTTGGCAGTGAACTTAGCTAATATGAGATAATACATTGATTAAAATATGTATCTGTTTGAAGGACAGTATGTTCTTGGCAATTATCCTTTTTGATTATGAGAAAATGTGTATTTTTCTACAGCCAAACTAAACTTGCACTGGTGATGTTAATGCAATTTCCCTTCCCCCCTGATTATACAGATTGCAAATTCCATGGTAAGTACGTGGACAGGACCACCAGCCATGAAATCCCTCTTTACCCGAATGTTTTGTTGTAAGACTTGTCCAAACATTGTGAAGACCAACAACTTCATGAACTTTCAAAGCTACTTTCTGCAAAAGGTAAAATTTATTTTTTCACTCAACATTTTAAAAGAGATTTCAAAATACAAAAATGTTCCTATGGTTAAAAACTACAGAAACATAGCACAATCCTGCTTTACCCCATTATAAAAATCCAAAATAACTAGTTCTTTCTTACATGGCATCTGTTTGTTCTATCTTAGTCAAAAATCAGTTAAAAAATTTTAGTAATTTTTTTCTGAATAGCTGAAGTTAAATTAGCAGTTTCTTCACAAGAATGGAGTACATATAATAAGTATTTGTAAACATTTGTGAGCTCATTCTTAAGTAGAATTTATTGTACAGTGATAAAGCTACTAATTTGGTCTTTCACGTGAATTCAGCAGCTGTCTTTATTCATGAATGGCACTGATATGACACTGCAAATAAAATCTCATAAATCTTATCTTTAATTGGTGGTCTTTTTAGTTCAAGACACTGCATAATCCTTCTTGCCCTCTCCTTTCTGTTAGTTGTCAACATCGTATATTGCTGCGGCTTATTTTTATGTTAATGTGGATTTTTTTTTTACTGGGGCCTGTAGCTGTTAGTTGTACAGTGAATAACAAAATTAATGACAATTGTTTTCTCTCAAGGTTCACTTTATAATTATTGGATGGTTGAGTTCTTATTTCACAGATTTCATATTCCTAATTATAGAGAAAACCCAGATTTTGTTTTTTTACTCTGTCCGAAACTGCTTCAACCTTGTCCCCACCAGTCTCTTTCTTGGACCTTCTTTTGTATTTTTCTGCTCTTCTTGTCATTGTTCATTCCTTCTCACTGAATCTTACACTTTTGGCCCTTTTAATCCCATGTTCCAAGTTTATAGATCTAGAGTAAGATTCCTAAATCTATGTGAGTGGAGCCTAAAAGAGTTGTTCATCTCATTCTAAAATAAATACCTAATCGGGGTAATACCTACCTGGCTAATAATTGTTTAGGCTTCACTGACTGTGTTGGATCTGTACCTCTCAATGATAGTGGAAGCTTAGACATCATGTTCACATGAAAGCACTCAAATTCTGTGTCTGTCTCAGAATTAGTTCCATCATCATTTTCTATGTTTCATTATTTTTCATTTGCTGTGTTTTTGATGGTGCCTTGACTTGAAAGGCTTTTCTTGGATGTACAGGTTTTTTTAAATGTCTGCACTATGACTAATTTGAAGCAATACTTGCATAGTTTATTTGATCTGAAAATTATATAGCCTATGGTATGACTTTCAGAAGCATTTAAATACAACTTTTCAGAGACTTTTGATATTGTAAAATTGTTAGTTGGTCATTTTCAGGATGTACCTCTTTTCAGGGTGTAATTATCATTTCAGTAATGTAAGAATGATGTTAATATTAATTTTATTGCACAGACTATGCCTGTGGCCATGGCCCTTCTGAGAGATGTTCACAATCTCTGTCCTAAGGAGGTTTTAATGTTTATTTTGGATTTGATCAAGTATAATGATAACAGGAAGAATAAGGTAAAGAATGTGTTTATTTTAATCTCTCAATTTTCATTGAAAAAAGGCTTAGTTAATATACTGCATGATGTTTTATGCCACTAATGTAAATATCTGCCTAGGAGAGTTATGAAAAGGTGATACACTAAACTAAACAGTAAATGTTACAGAATGTTCTGTAGCTGACATTTCTATGGCAACATTTCTTGGATGTTTCAAAGCTCTTTGTGCTTGTTGACTTACTAAGGACCTGCCTGTCTTCATTTGCACACAGACTTTTCTTGCTTTACTCTTTTTCTTTCAGAAGACCCATGTGTTTTGAGAAAATATGCATGAGGCTAACATGTAGCATGCAAAGTTAAGCACTGGTTTGTTGGGGTTTTTTCACCTTGAGAAGAGTATTTGAAAGAGTAAGGAAAATAAAATCATCTTTTTAAATTATATGTAGGACTCTCAGATTTTGAGTTCTGAATGTCAGCTCTACCTCACATAAATAGATTGCCTTAATCTAGTTAAATAACAGCTGAAACCCTGGTTAATATTGTTCCATCACTAAATTGAAGCATCTGAGTTGGAGTGTCATCTAAAGTTCCTTCCCACACAGACCCCCTCTGGAGGATGGTTAGAAGACCTTTAAAATGCTGTGATGATACAAAATTCCATCTCCCTAGCTACAGAGGAAGTCTACAGCTTCTGGGAGCCTAGCATAATCTTCCCAATTAAGTACACAAAGTTAAATGGAATAAATCTGAAACCTCTTGAGCCTCACTTTCTTGTGTGTAGAAGCACATACTGTAACAAGACACTCATTGCAAGATTACTGAAGTAGGAGGATGATGGAGGGTGGAGAGTTAGACCTGTGAAGGCAAGCACCAGTAGTCACACAATGTAGCAGGTTGTGCTAACATCTCCCCACCAGCAATAGAGAGATCCTGCCTCACTTTCCCACATGTCCCTTCTATGCATGTATTTGACATCTTCTGCTGAATCTGACAGATACTGTGTTTGTTTAGATTAAATTAACAAATCTTCAAATCCAGTACTTTTGTCTGCTTTTACTTTTTTTTTTTATACTTTTTGCTGCTTACTAAATTAACATGACCCACAAATGCAACAGCCAGCACAATGGAAGAGGTGAAACTGTGAGCCCAGGTAAAAGGAGCAAATGAAGAAGCAACATTTTCCTCACTAAGCAGCAGTGAGGCCATTAGTTCACCTCAGAAGCTTGTGAAGTTGCTGTCTACTGTCTGATAGTGTGATTTTCTGAGGTAACAAGCACCTTGGTAACCTTAGTACTGAATATAGAAACAGACAGGTAGTTTTAGGTGCTCACATTTGGAAATAATCGCTTTCATTTTCCATATTTGGAAATTTTTCAATGCCTGATTTTTGCATTTTTATAAAACAGTGTATTACTATTAATATGCTCTTATTACAGAGTGAAGATTAATGGTAGTATGTCTGCTTGCTCAATCACTCTCAGATCTGTTTTCAGAACAAATTTATTCCTGTTTTGCTGTCTCATGCAGTTTCTTACATGGGTTTTGTTCTAAGATCTTGTTCTGTAACAGTGCTTCAACATTTCTTAGCTTTTAAAGAATATATATTGTTATATTTGCTTATTTTTAAATGCTGTTTTTATCTAGTTTTCAGACAACTACTATCGTGCTGAGCTGATTGATGCCCTCGCCAACTCTGTAACTCCTGCAGTCAGTGTGAACAATGAAGTTCGAACACTGGATAACTTAAATCCTGATGTTCGACTTATTCTTGAGGAAATTACCCGTTTCCTAAATATGGAGAAGCTTCTTCCCAGTTACAGGCATACCATTACAGTCAGGTGTGGTTCAGTAATTGTTATACCCATGAAGAGAGCAGACACATTAACGCTAATTTTTTGGGTTTTTTCTGCCTTTCTATAGTTAGTATTTGCGATTTTAGCTTGCGTGTCTTAATCTTAACTGTCAAATTCCTTCCAGTTTCCAAAAGCTGATAGTGTAAGTTTGTCTTGCTTTATTTTTCAACATTAATTTCTTTCAATGTAGACTTTCAATAGCAGGCGTAAGTTGATCATGCTTGTACCACTTTATGAAGGGCATTTATGAAAGTTTTACAAAAGGTGGCCTTGTAACAATATCTATAGAGTACACAACATAGCCCGAGCTGTGTTTTCTCTGTAGGTTAGTACAGTTCTAGTGAAACCAAGCGGTAACTTTGACACAGTGGGGAATTTTGTTTGTGTTTCTGCCTAATTCAATTAATGAGAGCTATGTTTTATGTTACTGTGAACGTAATTGTAATGTGTTAATTTTAATAATATAATTCTAGGAAAATTGCAATATTTGATGTAGAAGAAAGTAATTTTATTCTTCTTGGCTGGCATTCCAGAAACCTAATGTAAATTTCATGTTTCTACCACATCTAGCTGTTTGAAAGCCATTCGAGTGCTTCAGAAGAATGGTCATGTCCCAAGTGACCCTGCTCTCTTCAAGTCATATGCAGAATATGGGCACTTCGTAGATGTCCGAATAGCAGCATTGGAGGCTGTTGTTGATTACACAAAAGGTACTTTTAAAAAATATTTTGACATTTTGTAACACTTGCGATATAGTAGAAAAGTGTAATACTTACTTCATTAATATTAGGTTGAAGTACTGTCCAGCAGAAGAGCTTGTGTGATGACAGATGTATTGATAAGAAGCTGAGATTCCTATTAATGCTTTGTCCTAGAGAATGCAAGTTTTATGAAGATGTGGTGAGCATTGTTTCTCAGTGTCTTGCAAATTGGATCAGATGCCTAAGTTTTGAAATAATGAGTAGACAGCAGAATGAGTAGTGGTAAGGGGTTTTGGTAGTTTCTTTTAACACTTCATTTTCAATGATTTTGGTTCAGTTGAGTTCAGCCATAATTGCTACTCAAAAGTTCTTGATTTTGCTCTACCTTCTTGCTAATCTCTCTATTTTCCTTTTTGCATGCATCTTTATGGCTATAAATTTTGGAAACTTAGATTATTTTAATGGTTATTGGTTGATTCTGCTTTGCCATTCCTTATACATAGCTTATGTTTCTGAGATGTTTCTGTTCTTTTAATATTGTCGTTACTTTAGTTGTCTGTTGCAGGTCCTTTCTTAAATACCGTTTGAAGTTGAAATTCAATCCCGAGAGATTTTCAGTTAGAAATTATATCTTTAATGATTTGCATTTTATAAAATTAATTTAGTACTACATTGGCCTGTTCATTTATTTGGGTTAGCTTTTCTCTGTTCAGCAGATTGTGACAGTTCTTGTGTTTGAAAGGTTATCCCTATCAACGTGGCCAAATCCTTCAGTTCTTCCTCTGTGAGCAGACTGATGATTCTAGACTTCTAATTATTTTGCCTCAAATTTCATGTTTTCAATTTCAGGGTAGTGGAGAGTTTCCTTTGTTTTTTTGCATGAGTAATTGTTTTCTCTTTTTAAGGGCTTTTTACTTTGATCTTACTGCTGTCATTCTGTCCAAAGACTTCTCAAACTAGATAGGCAATGGGAGGTTTTAAGGTAATTGGAGTCTGAGTGAATGCATCTGGCGGAATTCAGACGTACACTTACAGACTGGAACCAGACTGTCATATAGAAGAACTAGTAACTTCAAGGGAGGCTGTGCACTGAGAGTCACTCTCAGGTTCAGTCCTCAGTCTTGTAATTCAGCAGGCATTCTGGATCCATAACTGACTGCACATGTACCATTTGGTGACCCTGTGAGTGACACCCAGATAGAATTCAGAACTCTGCTGGTGCTGGTGCTCTCTTTTAAGCTGCTCGCTTTGTTCCTCCCCTTGTAGAATATTAGTGGAAAGATTTGCTGGAGAATGGAAAGCTTACTCATCAGCCTGCTTCCTTTAGAATAATCTCCTCACTAATTCATCCCACCCTGTGGAAAGACAAACTGATAGAAATATTGTTTTCGTATTAAATTCTTGACCTTTTATGGATGGTGTTTATACTTACTAACTGACTTGGATAAGGAAGTGTTTGTACTGCAAAGTCATTCTATGATTCTATGAAAGTAATGTAGTAGATCTTTAAAACAGCTGATCAAATGGGTTGCTGTATAAGCAAGATTGGATAAATTGCTCAAAATACTCTACAGGAAGGCAAAACTTGAATGGTAAACAGTAGTAGAAAGATTACCTGAAGAAATTAGTGGTTGATCTGAATGTAATTTGTGACTGAGCTCAGTGTGAGGTGGAAGTGATGGATTAGAGTATTGTTGCACCTAATTGCCTTGCCCCTTGCCAGCTGCTTTTTCTCTGATGCAGAGGTGGCAAATGCAAATATCTAGCCATAAAATAAAGTTACCACAATTCACAACACAGCCTAGTATCTAACTGGTCATGAGTATCATTTTTCAAATACAGCCTTCCAACACTGAACATGAGCTTCTGCTCCTGTTGTAAGACTGGTCAGTTTTTGGTGGAGGGGTAAATGTGGAAGCTCAGTGTGCTTACTGACTTCTTCAGCTACCCAGATAGAAGTTAGCAGCGCTTGTCTCACAGAGCCCTAAACTTGACTTTGGAAGGAGAAATGACTGGCCATCTTTTGCCAAGAGGTCTGATTCTCATTGTTCCTGGTTACCTGGTTTCCAGTTCATACTGGATATAAACCAGCAGCTATCAGATGCCTGTTGCTTGTGCCAAAGCTGGCTTTTTAACTGTTCTTGTAAAGGAAGCTGACAGATTTTGTAATTTCCATAAAAAGAAAAGTCTGTATTTTCTGGGGCAATGTGGAACTCCCATGTTTTTCTATCAACTCTCAGGGTAGGAATAGCACTGCCTTTTTTAAAGTTACTTTAAAAGAAATAATTTCTCCTTGGAACTGAAGAAGCTGTTTTCTTTGCTGTTAATAGTAAGGCTTTTTTTTTGGAGACATGGTAACTCTGTAAAATGCTTGAGGCAGCGTATAAGGACTTGGACAGTTGTTCTAAACTGGCTTGAAGTGAACAGGGTTTATTAACTTTTTAAAGTTAGCTTCTGATAGTTACGTGACTGTTAGTCATTATATGTGTACAACAAAGCAGTTGCGTATTTATAAGAGGTAACAACAAACCATTCTAAATAAATATCCATGATTAGATAATCTCATGAATGTTAAAGTTTAGGGTTTCAGAGATGCTCTGCTGTAATTGAGAACTGTTACACCGTCTCTTGTAATTTGAAAAAAATCTCAAGGGGATTTTTACTTCAGAAAACATTCATTTTTTTTTCAAGTCTACCAGAAGTATGAAAATCTACATATCTTTCTTTTCCCACAACCTTCTCCTAGACAAACTGGAAAGATACAGACGGGATGGGTGGTCTGTGAGATGGGTAAGAAATTGGGTCATGGGGCACACTCAGAGGATGGCAATCAATGGTTTTTCACTCAGGCTGACAAGCCTGTCGCAAGTGGCGTCCCCCAGGGAACATCTTCATAAATGATCTGGACAACAGCATTGAAAGCAGCCTCACCAGGTTTGCTGATGACACTAAGCTGGGTGGTGAGGTGGAAACGTCAGAAGGGAGAGCCTTCTTACAGAGAGACCTGGACAGAGTGGAAAAGTGGGCCAGCAAAAACTGTATGAGGCTTAACAAAGACAAGTTGAAGGTCCTGCACCTGGGACGACATAACGGAAGAGGACCTGTGTGGTTGGGGAGCAGCATCGCTGAAAGGGACCTGGGGGTCCTGGTGGACAACTGGCTGACCATGAGTCAGCAGTGAACCACTGCAGCTGCGAAGGCAAATCAGATCCTGGGCTGCATCGGCAGGGACATTACTGTCAGCGATAGAGATGTGATCATCCCACTCTGCTGAGCACTTGTCAGGCTGCACCTGGAGTTCTCTGTCCAGTTCTGGTCCTCACAATTCAATAAAGGCATGATCAGACTGGAGACGGTCCAAACAAGGGCCATGAAGATGATGAGAGGGCTGGAGAACGTGCCCTGTGAAGAAAGACTGAAGGAGTTAGGTCTTTTCTGCCTGGCGAAGAGAAGGCTCACGGGGACCTCATCACAGTACTCCAGTACTTAGAGTGGCTATAAAGAGGATGGAGGCTCTCTCTTCACACAGAGACACATGGAGAGGATAAGGGGCAACAGGTACAAGTTGCACCAGGAGAGGTTTCATCTTGATATAAGAAAGAAATTTATTACAGTGAGAACAATCAATCAGTGGGACAACCTCCCCAGGGATGTGGTGGAGTCCCCATCTCTGGAGATTTTCAAGATGCGATTGGACAGGGTGATAGATAATCTCATCTAGGCCCCCTTTGCCATGGAAGGTTGGACCAGATGATGTTTTGAGGTCCCTCCCAGACTGGGATGTTGTGTGATTCTGTGATTCTTCTGGCTAATAAGATTTGTTCTGCCCAAAGTCAGGTTTAATTTGTCATAGATTCCCAAAATGTTTCATAGTTACTGTATAAATTTGTAGAGTAGGTTAAAATGTGTTAGTAGCAAAGCTTTGGAAGTCTAGCAGGCCTAGTTTACACTATAAGGCAAAAAGCAGGGAATACTTAATTTATTTCAAACACAAATAAGTTTGACGAGCAAAAAATACCTTTTTTTTTTTTTTTTAAACTACAAAAGTATGGTGTTTCTTGGTTCTGTTATCCAGTACTATCAGCGTAAAGGATTCATCTCCTCTACTTCTCATTTTTTAATCAAAAACCATTTAAAAATCCATTTTGTTTAGCGGTTGAAATAATTGCAGCTTGCTTATGATTGTGACTTAGTGTGTTTGCCATGTTGTGAGGCTTTGCTACATAGTTATACAATATTATTTTTCTTCCATGCAAGACAACTTTTGTATGCCCTGTTTTAGCTGCCTTCTATCCCAAGCAAGGTAATTGCCAGGAAAAGCAGCTGTGCATGGAGTTGAGCACAGGCAGTCACTAATCCCTTTACACTATGCCCTAGGCATAGCTTTTCAAAGATTTCTCTGACTTTTAAGGCAAATCTGAGATTGCAGTTCCGGTCTGTGTGGATACATATTTGCTCTGGCATCATGCAGAACTGTGTAGCCATGCACTAAATGGTCCAGAATGTGAGCTAACTCATTCTGCCTCTAAACAGGGTTTATAAGCCCAGTTCAGTGCCTCACCAGTATAACCAGTTCTGTTCTGGTTGTGTTGTAGGAAGAGCAGAGCTGACTTGCAAATGGCTTGCAAAAGGCTATTCAGCCATCTTCTAAGCAATACTATAATGTAGTTTTTAATTGCTTGGTGCCTCCTCCCAACCCAGGAAGAGACATATGTTCTAGTTGTCCAAAGTATTTAAAGAATTTCTAATAGAACTGAAGCGCTGATTCTCACAATATAATTTAAATTGCCTCTTACTTTAAAAGCAAGTTACTCTAGTGAATTAGCAAGGGAATAATAGGTATTAGAATTGATTGGACTAGAAAAATTGTATTTTAAAATTATTGACTGAAAGCTGACTACAGATCAGGAAGGAAATTTGAACTGAGGTGTTAAGAATCGAAAATACAGTAGGCTTGGGGAAGAAAGAAATACATTGCTAGGACCACAAAGCGACATGCAACAGAAATGTTTTTGGAGCTGTCTATAGAGGAATGATTAATATACCCCAGATCCTGAAGTAAAGCAAAGCCTAAGCACGCTCTTCATTGTTTTGAGGAAATGAGTGGAGAAAACTGCTGTAAAATCTTACAATTTTGTACCTGAGAAAAAGATTACATAATAATTCTTTCATTTTTTGTGTAATCGATCAGGATGATATCCTGTGTTGTTTCCTATTTTGCAATGTTACTCTGACAATCAAAGGAATTTTGTAATGTAATGTAAATTTTAAACTAAACTCTAGTTGTTTCCAATGTCAGGCAGCAATTTTCTAGAAGCATGTGCCAATACATTTTAATTGCAAAGTATACTGATGTAAAAAACTAAGGAGGGCTACTGAGAGGAGTATGCTTGCAGTTTTGTATAAGCCCTGTAGTCTTCCTCTTTCTATCCTATTTACAGATAATAATCTTTCACAGATTCCTGTGGATGAGAATTGTACGTTCTCTATTCCCTACAGAAAATACTATACTTCTGATTGTTGAAAGGATATTGGAATACATTCATTTTAGGAAGCACACAATATCAAGACGATCGTTTACTCTTTGATCTTCCCAGTCAACACTCACGAGTGACAGAGAGTTACCTGCTAGTAGTCAAGTTGGTGGTTATTGAACAATTGAGGCATGAAGGAGTTTTGTACGTGTTTCTGTTTGAGTGTAAAGTAAACCACCTTTTACTTTGAGTTTTCACTATAATTAATGAAATTCCTCTTTCCTTGCAGCGATTCAAGCTCTTTGTGTGCTAATTCAGGAACTTGTGATTGTCTTGATCAAAGTCCTTCCAGTTTATGCATATTTATAGGCATTTAATTTTATTTTTCTTCACAGTTGATAGGAGCTATGAAGAACTACAGTGGCTGCTTACTATGGTTCAGAATGATCCTGTACCCTACATAAGGTTAGTGAGTAAATAAAAAGACAGTATTTTTGCTAATGCTGGAACTGCTAGGTGAATTTTTGGCATGGAATTGCTAGAATAGATCAAATGCTTACCTGATTAATATTTCTTCACAAAACTGTTTTTCCTTCTTGTTATTTTATATGAATTGAAATGTGCTTTGCTGTTTCAGTAGTTCACATCTCAAAAATTAATATACTCTGTCCTTATTCTCCATTACATCATTTCTGTCTTTAATATTCTACCCTGTGTTGGAAGTCTGAAGTTAGAAGTTGCTTCCTGATCTTAAATAAAATATATAAATCCGATGTTGCATGTGTCAAAAAGACTTGGTGATATTTAGAAAAGACAAGGGTTGAGACATAGTACACACAATGTTTTGCCATGAAGGAGTGTAAAGCAATTGTTAGACTGTAGATGGGGTGAAAGGATAACATGTGAAAATATGGTGTATTTTCTAGTATGGCTTGTTTCAACTTTGTTTTCAGCAATGAGGCGTTGGATATTTTAGCACATTCATTATAAACCTTTGAACACCGAGATTCATAACCATTGTTTTTCCCCAACACTTTCTTCTTATGGCCATCATTAAAAGACGGAGTTTCGAAGATTAATAATGTTACTTTTACTCTCTATAGGTGATTTCTTACAAAGATCAATGTTGCAAGGTTGTTCTCCATTTTATTTCTGTCATTCTTGTTAATTAAAGTAGATGCAGTTAGACTCTAGTACTAGAGGAGGTTTAGCTTTGGTCTAGCAGGGAGATTTAACTTTATTTGTACCTTTTTAAAGAGGAGTTTAAATTTTGAATTGAGTGCTATATGTAAGCCTCCTCTAATAGAAAAGAAAAAAAGAATTATATGTAAGAGTTTTTTTGTACCAAATGTGTGAGACTTTAAGGCGAAAGCTGACTATACAGGGAAAATAGTTAAAATAATAAGTAGTGGAACAAATAATTACTGTCATTCATAAAATGTTTTCAATGTTTCATATTTAAAGAAAGTGGGGAAAAATTTATCTGCTTTCAGCTCAGTGTGTAAATATTGTAAGCAAACATGGTAAGTGCACAATTTTTATACACCAGTGTAACTTAAAAGGTGATAGTTTCATTTCCAGAAGAATGTGCGAGTCACTGGTTTTGGTCCTGCCATTTTGTATCAGACATAAATATTTCAAGTTATTTAAAATTTCTTTTATATTAGTATGTAAGGAGTTTATTTGCCAGTGTTGCTCCTTCTTTGTAATTATCAAACTAATGTATAAAAAAGATTGTTATAAACAGCAGAGCATAATGTAGCCTACAATTTTGTACCTAACTGTTAAAAAATGTCTAATAACATCCTGCTGCTTTGCACCTTACTTTTTATCTTTAAGTTATATTGCTGATGGTAAATCTGTGTCTGTGCATACTGTGGACAGAAAAAAGAGCTAAAAGCATAAAAACATTTGTTAAGTTTTTGGAAGAAATCCTGTATTTGAATTAGTTTGTAAGACTATTGCAAACTGAACAGACTTTATATTCTTAATGTATTCATTTGCATTTAATAAATATTTTTTTTCTGTTTCTTTTTCAGGCATAAGATTCTGGATATGCTAACTAAGAATCCACCTTTTACCAAGAACATGGAGTCCCCTTTATGTAATGAAGCTTTGGTAGATCAGCTTTGGAAACTGATGAATTCAGGTTGGTTGGTGGTTCGTTGGGTTTTTTTGGTTTTTTGTTATTGTAAGTTTTTTTAAAATAAATGTTAAAGACTTGCTTCACAATATGGCAAGAGGCTCTTTTAGTTTTGATAGTTAGAAATTAAAAATTCAGTCTCAGAAGTTCCATATCGCATACATACCTCTAGAACTTTCTCAGTGACCCAGGGTACCAAACCTCCTTTTTTTCGTTATTTTGTCTACTACTGTAGTGTGCTTTGATATACTTCAGCATGGGATGATTCTTTGACCCAGATGTTCAAAGCAAATGATTCCTCCAATGATGGTGTCTGTGTTACTTTTTTCTTTATAGTTTGTTTTAGATTAGATAGAATCTTTTGTTCTCTTTTACCAGACTCAGAGAGAATATGAGAGGATAACATTTGTACAGATAATTTAAATGAGATTTTAGAAGTGTATTATAAACCTAAGACTCAATTTGCCTTGTGTGATTAGGAAAGATCCTAATGAGAGAAGGGCTTGCATCTTTACCATTGACCTGTTTTCCATTACTGAAGCAGTTTTATCCAGTCCTGACAAGCTGCCCTTTAACATCTGGCTCGTTACCACATGGATTACATATAAACGTTTATATAGCTTTCTTAGGTCATTGAAGGCTGTCTGTTCTCTATGTATTATTTTTTTTAGTGTTTAAAAGTTTACAGCTACACTTCAGAGGTTGAAGTGGGGTGACTACCAGTAGTTCAGTTTCTTAGGATTTGCCAAGTGTCAGGCACAGAAAATAAACAATTTTGATGTTCCCATCAGAGAGTTTGTTTTTCTTTTTTCTTGAGAGAAGAGTGTGTGCAGTGTTACTCACAACCGTTACCTCTTCTTACAAGTAACAAATAGGTTATATATTCTTACTATGATTTTTGGGGGCTTTAAGTACTTAAATTTCTACTCATCAAGATGACATAATGTTTCAATATCTTTTCTGTAGGGGATAACTGTAACATTCCAGGGTGCCTTGAAAAAATGTTTGTTAATGTGAGACAAGTTAGTAGCCAGCTTTAAAGCGCCATGATTCTAGAATCATGAGTTGCTTTCATTTAACGTACGCACATGCAATAGAAAACAGACTGTCATGGATAGATGTAATCTTTTTTTTTTTTCTTCTGTGTTAATCTGCATTAAATTGAAAATTCTTGCAAGTTCCAAAGATTGCAGAGAAATTCAGCAACCAATTGTATTGGTTTTCTCTGGACAGTATTTTGATCTTAGTAATCACAGAATCACAGAATGTTAGAGATTGGAAGCCAGGATTAATATTCATATTGCTTTCTCTTGTAATTAGATAAGTGTATGTACTACTATTTAGTAGTACATACACTATTTAGCCCCATGAAACTTAGTATTTATAGGGATAGATCTTGTAATTTTATTTTGTGCTAAGTCTTACACAGCCACATTAGCATGGCAGTTGGCACATCTGTGTCTTGTTTACCAGACATAGTCGTATTCCTGAAATGCTGTGGAACAAATGTTCAATAAACTTGCAATCAGTCAAGGGCTGGGCCGAGTTAACACCAGAATCACTGTATTTGCAGCATTGCACCAGAGGTTAGATGACTTTCTGTTGTGATTGGTGCCAAATGTGCTTTGACCATTTCTGTATGAAGATATGAAAGCAGTATACAGTTTACAGTGAAACATAAAATCAATGAAGCATCGTTCTGTGCAGTAAGAATACGTATCTCCAGTATGAATACAAATTATAGTCTTGAGTATCCAGTGAAGTATGTGACATAGTAGTGACATCAAAAAGCATGTTTATACATTGCTGGTTGTGGTTTCCAGAGGGTACAGATCCCAGTCCTGCTTAAGGCTCCTACTACATTTCATGGAATACATAGGCAAGTGTGACCAAGTCCATTGATATGGGAAGCCAGCTTGGTAACAAAATGTTCTATTTAATTGTCCAGCAGTAAAAATTAAAGTGAAACTTTAAAAATAAAAGCGTATGGATGTGATTATTTTCCTTTGATTTTTCATTATGTTATTATAGCACTTAGTTTCCCAGTCTTGTTCTACTAAACATGTCCAGCTTACAACCCAAGCGACTTAAAGCCGTCCTTTTAAACAGGATGTAGCAGGTGAGTTTGAGTGAATGAGAGGCAGGAATATTGAGGGAAGTGTACTTTAAGCACAGAAAATGTCATACTCTGGTCGATTCAAATCACTTAAACTGTCTTATTTGTGGGGGAGGAGCAGACTGTACCTCTGTGTTAACAGTAATCTTTTGGGTTTTAGGAACTTCACATGACTGGAGATTACGATGTGGTGCTGTGGACCTCTATTTCACACTTTTTGGCCTCAGCAGACCTTCTTGTTTACCATTACCAGAGCTTGGACTTGTTCTTAATCTGAAAGAAAAGAAGGCTGTACTTAATCCAACGATTATCCCTGAATCGGTTTCAAATAATCAGGAACCTGTGAATAGTACTAACAATCACGGACAGTTAGTAGGATTTCAGAACACCGTAAGCACAAACCATCTGCATAAGTCCCGTTCAGCTGGCTCTGAGCCCTTGCATTGCTTGCTGATTTAATTTTGTATTGTGTTTGAGCTTCTAATGCTTTACCTAAACTACCTTTATACCTTGTTACTCTCTATTCCGTCCACTTGAAAAGCTGGCATATACCATAACTTCTTTGCCTTTTTTAAATTGTTTTGCATAGAGCATGCAAGCTTTTTGGTTTTTTTTCCTAGTGTCATCATTTCTGTTCTTTATCAAACTTTACTTTTCTATAATGCTTATGAGACATGAAGTGATTCACAGAAATGTTTGATGCTGTGACGAAAACTTTTTTTATTAGTCCAAGAATATTGCTTATAGGCAAGTTATGCAATTTTTCCCAAACAAAACCTTTCATCAGTAAGTTTATTACATCTTAAAATGCATAGATATACCACTTTTAAATCAGCTTTGGTATGTGAAAGTTGGAATTTTAACACATCTTCATTTAACACTTGAATCTGACTACTTAGCACTGTGCTCTGAAGGATTTGTAACAACTTCTGAAAAATCACATACATTAAGTTTGATGTCTTTCTGGCTTTGGAGGCTTCAGTCCTAACACGTAAAGCCATTGTGTAGTTAGAAAATGGATCTGACAAGCTATTCATGTCATATTTTTCTTAAGAATAACTGCCACTGCTGCAAGACTAAGTCTTTTTGCTGGACAAATGTAATGATGAGGGAAAAACTCAACAAATATGGAAATCACGAATAATTTTCTTAACAGTTTCAAAAACTACATTTGACTGAAACTGCTTAAGAGTAAATCCTGAAAGAGAATGTGAACGTGGTTAGCATGTTTGAAACTTTTTCCAGTCTTTTGAATTGAATAGTCTACTGCTACTTTATCAATCCCATAGTTAATTTCTAAATTGTTTTTATTTAAAAGTATACTGCGTGTGCAAATTACCACAGTACCTTGAAGTTCTGTTTCCAGTAGGGGGAGAAAATGATGATGGAGTCAAATATCATTAGAGCTATCCTACGTATTTACAGAACATGTAGTAAGTCCTAATTTGCTGTGCACAGACATCAGAATTAAATAGCAGGAGACATTTTGTTGGCAGATTTTTAGGCTGCATTCAGTGAACATGCACGCTTTTTTAGCAGCCAGACTATCTTAATCAGGAAATTTCTTCTTAACTCTGCTTTTTCCTATACTGTCCTCTCCCCTGTGCTAGCACAGTTGTTGTTGCTGCATAGGGAGCTGGATCAGGGGAGGATCTGGTTGGAAAATACCTTGTTTGTGAACAGATATTTCCTGCTGGATCAGCTTCCTGGTCCGGTTCATCATGTCATTCTACAAATGCTTTTGGTGGCGCAGGACAGAGATGTGTGGAGGAAGGGAAGAGGCTGCTTCTTTTAGCAGCAGTACTAGCTTACACTAGTCTGAAAACAGAGCATTAGTACAAGCCTCAATTCACACTTCATCCCTGGTATCTTCTCCTGTGCCTCGTCTCTGTTCTCCTTTACTTTAAGGTTACCATTTTCACTGTGACTCCCCCAAAATTCAAGGATCTGATTTTCCTTGTAAAAAACCTAAACCAATAATGTAAAACAAAGTCTACCTCTCACATCAACCAAAGTTTATCTGAAAGTGTTTCACAACAGCAGTGTGTAGGGTTAAATAATAGGGATGAAAAAAAGATAAATATGTATTTTAGGGGAAAAAAATAATAGGTGATAGATTCAGCTTTAACTAGATTGTTTAAAGCAGACTGTATATTCTGAGACCATAAACACGTTAAAAACGGTACTGATAGACTCGTGACACTGAGTTTGCTGAGGATGGTAAAAGTTACCCACTTCATAAAATTGAATTTGAATTGTTCAGGACAAGAGTTTGCGGGGCTGGAGTGCCCTTTGTAGGACAGAGGAAGACCAGTTCAGTGCAGCAGCATATGCTCTTGAGAGTCTATGATACAGCTTTTATCTAGTTTATAGTGGGCTTTTAATTATGTTTGCTTCTGTGAGTACTTTATTTTTCGTTCTTTACTTTATATATTGGACTTGTTGAAACACCTGTCTCCTGTTTTCATGACTATATGTCTAACTTAGTAGACTCTCCTGATATTTTTATATCCCTTTGGCCCTGTTTTTTTAATCATCTAAGCAGTAATTTATAAAAGTTTAACTCTTTTTAATAAATATTGTTAAATCACCTCCCCCCCCAAGTTATAAGTGCTCGTTATGATTTGTATTCAACAAAGTAAGCATTAGCTTTTAAAGCTAACTAAAAGAAGATTTAACTAAATCCCATCCCAGAGACTATCACAGTTTTTCAACTGAGATTTGAACTGAGGACAGTCTGCAAGGCACAGATTTATAGAAAGGCTATTCAGAGGCAGCAAATGTTGTAATACACCAACAGTACCATGATTGTGAGAAGGGACAGAAAAGATGCCAATGCTAGATATGCAGAGGGAGAAGGGGTACAAGCAAAGAGAAACTACGTTTGTAGGAGAGGTTGGCACAAATCCATACAGGGTTTTGGAAAATACTTTTTGCCAGAACTGCAGGGAAAACTGTTCAAATCACCCACTCTACTCAGAAATGTTTTCAGCTGTCAGGTCTCTTTTAGGCTGAAACATGGCTCTTTCTATCTTCTAATTTTGGTCTTTTAATGCTGCTTCAGGAGGATGATCATCTTATTAAGGAAACAGCATCCAGCATTTCTGGTCATCAGCAGGGGGTGAAGAGGAAGGCTGATATGCCACTCGGGTCTCCATTGGAGCCAGGGCAAATACTAGAGAAGAATGAAGACAGTAAAGTCAAACTCAAAATCAGAGTAAGAAATGGAAATTCAACTTGCATAGTATGTAGGGTATTCAGAATAACAGCAGTGGCTTCTGCTGACTTCCCTTAAAGCTGTGTTCAAACAAAAGACATGTTGTGTATATGTGTACAGTAGTTGTTACGCTTACTTTGGCAAAATAATTTCCCATCAGATTCTTTATTGGCTGGCAAGAACTAAAGTTGACAGTTAATGCTCATATTCACACAGCTCCACAGTAAATTAGAAAGAAGAAAAGACACTGACCCTTTTAAATTTTATTGAATTTTTATTCCTTTGCAGTGGTAGATATCACTTCCTTTCCCTCTCACCCCCAGTTAACCTCAAAAATAAAATATTTTAAGTTCTATTTAGTGAAATTCCTATGAATTATTAGCATCTGCTTATTTTTTTCCTGATACCTTAGTTCTCAAACTCTCAAGAAGAGGAGGAAATTGATATGGACACAGTGCATGACAGTCAAGCCTTTATTTACCATCATTTGAATATGTTGGAGAGACCATCCACACCAGGTATGAGTAAATTTATTGGCAAAGTTATAGTATGAAGTTTTCAACTATTTCAGTTGTGTTTGTTATGTTGGTTTTTTTTCTACTGCTTATTCCCATACATACCGTGCTGTTGAGTGTTAACTGAAGTGAAGAAAGTACGTAAAGGGTGCATAAGAACATTTCTTTAGCTTCCAGTATATTTATAGATATCTGTGTATTTTCATACATGTCTAAGGCAAGTATGTATCATGTTTATAAAAGTGAAAATCTAAGGAGTGAATAAAATAATATAAAGCTGAAATAAAACCCCACAAGCAATTAGGTAAAACTTATTTTGCCCTAGTTGTCATTTAAAAAAATAATAATTTTAAAGATTAACTTAAAAAAATTAGCAACACTGTTCAGGTTAAAAAAATCTCTAATCTTAATGGTTTATAACTTAAAAACAGTTAAAAAACATGCAAGCCTCAAAGATGCTTAGAAGGGCTTTTCAAAGTTGAAAATATTGCATCTATGAGTAAAATGGTTTCATTTCAAGCACCTTCATTTCTTTTACTATTTCTCTTACTATTTTTTTTGTAAAATACTTGTCAATATTACTTCTCAAAGAATAGTATTTCTTAAAAAACTTAAGGGAGGTTGAACTTCATTGGTGAACTTCCCCTTCTTTGCTTATCTGTCACTAGCAAAGAAATTCAGTGGTCAGACTCATTTTCTCAAAATATTTTAACCACATTTTTTAAGTTTAGTTCCAGAACGTGCCAGTGGAGCTAAGCTGAGATGGTGTGACTATGTAACAAATATTTTGAGAGATCTTTCCTACACATCCGAAACAAGGTTTTAAGGTTGCAGTATTGCAGTGGCTGAAAGTGAAGTGTTTGGCCTTAGAATCAGGATTCAAAGTAACTACCCTCTTGCTTGTTTTTCTCTTTTTATCCAGTGGTTGCCTAATGTAAAACACAAGTAGACCTTAGCAGCAGGATCTGGAACGTTGTTTCCGTCTTGAGTGCACTAGGTCCTGAGCTGTGCTGACAGGTGACCTCATCTGCTTTCCCTGTGACTTGACAATTTCATGGCCCTGTTTAAGAGAAGGACGGGTGGATGTTCCTGCTCTGAGTATCCTGCTGAGGCTGGTGCCTTGGTGCTGGCTGGGGGTGTGGAAGCTGTAGGCTTGTCCTCCCCGAGGGCCTAGGACTTATGTTTTTACTTCTTTGGCAGATGCTCTAGCTGCTAAGGGGTTTTGTTTTTTTTTTTTTTAAAAAGGTAACTGCTGTCATTGCTCAGCTAACAAATTCAGTTCATATGGGGACATAAAACACAAGGAGGTCTAGTTTCTGGATTCCAGATGGCCTTTTGTTAATGACATGTGCCTGTACAGCCAGCTCCACCAGGATGGATTTGTTGTTAGATATATAGAGCAGCAAAACTCGCAACTTTTTGCCTAAATCATAGGCATTTCAGCAGAGTAAAGGAGAAGGCTGAATATAGGTTGCTCTCATGAGTTTAGGAGCCTAATTCTGCCCAGCCTTTACTTTAAACCTCTCAGAGCTGCTTTGAATTTTGTCCTCAGTGTTATGGTCAACTGTCACATTTCTGCTACAGCAAAGGATGATACATTCAGGGCATGCAAGTGCAAAGTTGATCCGCTGAGGATTAGTATTTATAACTCTTACATGATATATGATATTTTGCAGCATATCTTTTCACTAGATTTACACACTCTATGGAATATAAAGTCATTAACAAAACTCTGCCAAATATTTCACAAATAGGACTTATGGGACCCTCTGTACGCCAGCGCTGAGCTCCAGGACTGCTGCATATTCAGTTTGCTCTAAACTTCAGAAAGGACAAAGTCTGATCACAAGTGGAGTAATGGCTACTTGACTGCTGCTTTTGTAGACCTACAGCAGGCAAAAACTACTTTGAGTTTCACTTGTGTGCTGAGTGACCTTCTCACCTCTGCCGTTTAGGCACTCAGCACACTGGAACACATTTTCTGTCCTGGGTAATAAATGAGACAAATGCTGGTTTTTGACACAGAATTCATTTTAAATAATAAGCCTTTGAAAAGCATTATTTTGAAACACTTCAGATTAATTTCATTTTCTTTGGTTTGTGCGGTTAGAAACAGTTCCACTTCAGATATTCTTTGCTTCTAAAATTTCACCTGTTTCTTATTCATAGCATTTTTCTTAGAAGCAGAGATGTATGAGTTTCAGATTGAGTAAATAAAGACAGTTCAATCTTTAGGAAAAAGCATACTTCTGAGAAGAAATGCCAACCAGATGGGGAAAAAGAAAAGCATATGTAAATAAAATTGTTCACACATAGGAGTGTTCTGTTTTACAAAAGAATCATAGATAATCTTTCTGAGAGCCTTTGAGTTTTTGCAGCAGTGATGGAGGATGGGTGCACTTCAGTGAGTGATTATTGTGAAATAGATTGATGACAGGCTCTGAAATGCTCTCAGTATCGTGTTAGTCAATCTGTATAAGATCTTGTATCTGCCTCAGTTCTGTGACTCTTACTTGGAAGGCAGTGAGCTCTTAGTCCATACTCAGTTTTCTTCTTACAGCTGTGGGTTATGTCCCCACATGTCACATGAAGTGTTAGGTCATCAGCCAAACACAGCCTGCAAATAGCAGCTGCCAGGAGGAAGTTCATGTTGGGTCTAAATCCTGCTGTATCTGTGTTGGTTGTTTTTTTTTGGTTTTTTTTACACTCCCCACACCACCCTGAATGATAATTTGGATTTGTTCAAGCTAATGTAACCCCCAGAAAGCCAGGAAAATATTCTTGCTTCTGCTCATGGATATGAAAGGTTAGGGTTGAGACACACTGCAAGGGCAATAAAAGAAGTCTTGTACAACAACTCTTGCAGGATTACAGGTAATTACAGCACCTTTCATAGTTGTTCATATAGAAAGTGCTTTAAATCCTACTAATGCGTCCTGTCTATGATAATAGAATGCTGGACTTTGGTAGATACAAGGGCTTCTGAGTATTTTCAAGAAGTTATTAAAACAAGCAAAACATTAGTTGTGCAGACTGGCTGAAGAATGCTGTTGTGTTGATTATTCATCTGCCCTAAGGACTAGAATGCTAGCCTCCCTTGAGCCTCTGAAGCTGTGCAAGGTCACGTTTCTAATGCGAGAACAGATTTTCATTTGCTACTAAATCATCAAGAATAATAGTAATACTCCCTACAGTTATATTAAGATCAAAAGAATTTCAAGATGAGATTTTTTTTATAAGCAGTAGATTTCAACTCTCATTTCAGACTATAAGGTGACGTCATGTGTTGTTGACTTCAGTGAAATCAGATTAAGATATACTTCTTTATTTAATATTTCACTCATTTCCAAGTACAATACTTCAAAATTAATCTCGAAAAAGTTTTGCTGTATGTGTCAGTGGTTATTGATTGGCCTGTCCTTTTCTGCCTCCAAAATAAATGCCTGCCTGTAGCCTGTGTGATCTACCAGTGAAGTTACAGGTTGTCATGGCTCAACAGGTCATCACTGATGAACATTGAATTTGAATTCTCCCGACTGATTTTGGTGGTTTGGTGGTTGATACAAAGCAGTATCCAATTCTCTCCTACCTTTATTTCTACAAGAGAAAAAAAGTAAATACAGCAGTGTTTTCTTTGTGCACTGGCAGTCCTTTTTCTGATTACATTCAGGAGCGGTGGGCTTTGAGGACACATCCTGAGCATTTGAACTCAGGACAGAAAAATCCTTTGGCCGTTCTATTAATCCATTTGTTGTTTTCCAGAGTAATCTGGAAATTTCCACTGCTGACCTTGTAGGTCACTCTGTTACCATGTAGATGTCCATGAAACTTTGAAGGTCTAGGCCACGCTCCTATGTGTGGTCTGTCTTATCACATTTACTGTCTGCAGTTTCAGGAAATAATGATTTCGCTGGATTGAATAGTTTCTGGAACAATGTGAAACTGGATACAGCACATACTGTAGTAAAGTGTAGATTGAAACTACTGAAGTCATTGTGTTTGAACAGTCCATTTACAACAGTGGATATAACCCTGTGGTGCAAATCACCGTCTTGCAAGTGTAGATACGGTAGGTAATAGGAGTTCAGTATGAACCATATAAAAAGCCCAGTCCTCTACAGCTCAGTGGAGTTACCAGAGTTAGCTACAAGAGCATCAGGACCTCAAAGTTCAGCCATTAGTTAGTGGCTCCCTGCCAAAAAGGGTTGACCGAAACATCAGCACACAGACAAATATGTAAATGAACACTTCTTGGATACAAGGGCACCACTGACAAGGATGGATTTTTGCTTTACTTTTTAAGGAGGGAAAAGCTGTTACAACTGTTCTGCTAGACTACCATTTAGGAACAGAATATTAATATAGTATCTGTATGATAGTATCCTTTACACATATGTTGACTTTATTACCAAAAATATAACTGCTTCCAAACTGGTAATTCATAGGCTTTGAGGTTCTGTAGATAGTTTTGCCTCACTGAAATAGTATGTGGTTAGTTGTACTCTTCACAAGGAAGGGTGTTTTCAAGTGCTTTATCCTAAAGTGCACAAAAGCAGCTTAAACAGAAACACGAGCCTGCAGATGAAGTGACAGCATAACTGAGAATTGCATCAGTGTGTGGCTGCAGAGTGTCAGCTACATGATTTAATAGAAACAACATAATGTTGTAGCTGTGACTGTCTCTGAGTAAACAACTGGTCACTCTCAAACCTAGAAGATGGGTAAGGCTAGAAACTAAATTTTCAAGTGAACTACCTGAGACTCTTAGAGGCACAAAGTATTCTGAATTGACTTACTGATTGAAATGTCCTTTTCTCTACACTAGGGAATATTCTAGAATTTTCTAGAATATTAAAGTAAATGGTGTAAAAATTACACCACAGTTAAGCTGTTATTTTAACATAAGGGCAAAACAATGTATTTGTTAAATGAAAGTCAAATGAGGACATTAATAAAACAGTTACCAGTTAAAAGTATATTTTAGTTAAATCACTAACTTGTCTTTACAGTACTTTAGCAGAGGCTGTCCTTTGGTATAGGTGTAAGGAATTACCTATCTGTATATAAACTCCACTAAAAATATTAAGTCAAGAGAATCTGTAAATTGGAACTAGTTAAAATTTTTATGTTGGAGACAAATTAACTGATTTTTTAGCACATCCTCAGAAAACTGTTTTTTAACCAGACCTTTACTTCTCACTCTCAAACTTTAAATTTTGTCCCACGGTGACAAAAAAATAACATTCTGCTGGACAGAAAATTGAGAATTTTTTTTTACAGATATAAATTTGTGAATTCTGCTTCTTAACGCAAATGACAAGACACTTGCATTCTGGAAGCTTGGAATTATTTATGCTCGGTAACTTTCTGTATGTGCTGTGTTAATGGTTCAACAGGTGCATAAACACAGCATTAAATTAAAAAAATGTCTTGGATGTTTCCAGGGTAATACTAAAAAAGAAAAGTAGAAATAAGGAAAAACAAAGTAATTGTCAAAACAGTTTTCAAGATCTTTTCAATGTTTTCTCTAAAGTGAGAACACTTAAAATGCCAGCCAGAGCTGCAGTTCAACTACTAGGCAAAGAGAGTGCATTATTTTCCTCATTAGCAAGCATTCTTTGGGTTCTGGGAGAAGAGTATTAAGTGCTCGTGTGCTTGTGTTGGTTTCCCCTTCTTCCCAGAGGTGGCTGGTATCAGGTTCTCATGCTGAAACACTGACCCGTGGGCCTTACACTTTGCTGTGATTTGTCAAGTTGGTTTCTCCCTTTCTGACGTTTGAATAGATCAGGGTGCAAATAGGGTCACTTTTAACAAGTGTCAATTTGGAAATGTCCTACATAAGCCAGCTGCTTTAAATAGATTGTACATGCAAAGAAACAGAGACTGTAAGTCTGTGGTGTCCCACCCTCTTCACATAAAATCTGAAATATAGGAGAGACTATATGGAAGATCTTATGAAAGCTTATTGGCACGTTAAATTCTTAAGTTACATGTTCATAAATTGTAAAGATTTGATAACAAAATAAGAGTAAAATAGGTAAAACACTGTATCCAACAGCATTGTTCAACGCTGATGCACTAATGATTCTTGAAAAGAGGTAAACTTACCCTAGATAACTGATGAACAGGATGTTGTGATTATCTGACAGTGATTTTTATTATGGCAGAAAATATTATTTTAAAGCTTATCAAGATCTAAACCCCTTTCATTCTAAGACTAAACTGTGAGATATGTGTTTTCGTATTTTATTCTCTTTCATGATATCTACAGCATTTGTATCAGTCCCTGTGACAAGGTATGCACAAAGTTTCTGATCATTCTCCCATGGGATAGTAATCCTGTCTAATTTTAAACACCTACCCAGCTAGCTGGAACACCACAAAGCCAGCAATTGCATTGGAATCTCCACATCCCAAGCAGAAAGAGATCCAAGTGGATAAACACATGTATGTGCATTTTCTTCCAAGGAGTGCTACTACCCACTTCAAAAGCGAGCTCCTGGGCTCACCCTCCGCTTATTGTGTGTTTCTGTGACTTGAGAAACCCAGGTTCCAGTCCTGCTGCCTCTGCCAGGAGGAAGTGGGTTCCCTGCAGGAAGAGGGAGTGAGTGCTCCGTGCCTCCTTGCAGCAGTCCTGCTACCCCTGGTGATCGGAGGGTGACATTAATGGCCCATACAGTAATTCCTGTTTAGCTTTGCTTTCATATTTTGGCAGGTTCCTGGCATGGGCTTTAAGTAGATATTAATTAAAAAGAAATGAAAATGATGAAAAAGTGTTCTGCAAGTGTAACAGTGAATTTTACAGGTACAAATCTGTAAAATCTTTTATAGAGCTTTTACAAGTCTGTCCATTTTACAGACAACTGAGTTTGGTAGTCTGCATATATCCTTTCTGAGCTGTCATCCAGGATCAATATGTTTGATTCCTGATTTGAAAGCACTCTTTAACAGTAGGAGGACGTTTTCTGGATAGTTGTTAATTTTACATTTAAAAACCCAGCAGGTTATAGCTAACATTGACCTCTCTGAAGATGGTGTATGTGTACTCAGTACTGGCTCAGTAAAAATAGATTTTTATAATGACATTCTTTCATTTTGTATTGACATTTGTGCCATGTTACCAATGTTGACTGTCTCCTGAAGTGTCAGCAGCCCTTGAGTTGTGGTTGGATCCCATCTCTCCCCTTCCTGACGGTCTTCCTGCCTGTTTCTGTTTCCAGGTGCTCCTCAGCACCCCTTCAGTCATGAAGGCTTGAGCTACTGTTGTGTGTGCTCCCTAACTTCCTCCCATCAGTGGTGTTTACCTGCTATAAGTAATAGATTTTTTTTTTAATAACCTACATGAAACAAGTAAAGAAGTGGTAACGCAGACTGGTGCCGTAGCAGAGCCGGTAGTTCAGTAAACAGCAGGAAATTTGCATGAGTGGCAGATAGTGCAGCAGAGTCAGGAGGGTCTGATTGCATGCGTGGTCGTCACTGGCACTTGGCACTCCTGCTACATCATCCCTGCAGACTTAAGCCCACGTCCTTATACCACTTATACTGGGTTAAAATTTGTAAAGCTCAGAGGCTTAGCTTTGGTTTGAGGTTGCTAGAAATGTAGTGTCTAGACTTGCTGGTTCAGTTTCCGTATAAAAATAACTTCACAATTTGGAACTATTGGAGCTGTGAAGTTTTAAGGGTTTGTGTCATGTGTGTGGGTTTTTTGTTTTCTTTTAAGTTGACTTTAGTTTACCTCGTCTATTTAATGTATCATGTGCCTGTAGCTTGAGAACGGTGTGGGAATGTGTTCCGTACCGTAGGTAATCTTTTGTGCATCGGTGGATGAACACTGATCGGCATCTTTCAGGCTTTTTGCCACAACCTGTATTTCTGTGTCACTAGAAGCTGTGTTTGTGTCACTGCCAGAGTTCACATTTGACTACTGTAGCCTGTAAAATACTGTGTGCTTTGGTTTTCTGAGGTACAGCCTCCAACCATTGCTTTTCTAATGGTCTGAGTCAGATACAGTCCTTTTTCTGCCATTCTGTCCTCTGTTTAGTGGCTGGCTTTGCACGCTTGCATCTACTAAAGAAAATTTTCTTACTTGTCTAAAAGCTGTGTGCTTGAGGAGGATGAGCTAAGATTACAGGGATAGGTTTAGGTACAGGTAGGAGTTCTTTAGGTGAAATAGGTAAATTGTGAGGTAATCATGTAGTTTTTTGCATCAAATACAGTATACTTACATGCTGCCTGCATTGTTGAGAACTGCTCCAGCTAACAATGTAAATGTTTGTATTTCTATTCTGGCTTCTAAACACTGCTTACATGTGTAGATTTTGTTTTTTCCAGCCATATTTAAAAGCAAACAAAGACGAGAACAGCTGTACTGTCTAGAAACTTTCCTCTATATGTGTTTGATTGAATCAGTTCTTAATCTTTCGGATAAGACTAGAGTGATTGCATTGAAATCTTTCTCAAGGCTTGTTTGCCATACTGCAGGGAGCTGGCTCTTCAGACTTAGAGGAATCATTACCATAGCCTTTAAAGATACAAAACCAGCCAAACAACCAAACAAAAAGATGTACTGGAGAAAAAAAGAAAAAATCCATTTTCAATTATACAGAAAAAGATAATTACAAAGTACATAACATAATTCATTCTTATATAACAGGGATATTTTCACCAAAACTGGAGGGGAATAAAAACAAAACAAAAAACACTTAAAGCAGCTGTGAAGAAAACCCATTTTAAGTAAAACTTACAGGAGTAGCTGCCTTCAAAAATCTGATGGTACTTTTCTACATTTGTCTAGTAGTTAAACCATGTTCTTGCAATGTGAGTGATTTGATTCCATTTCTACCCAAAGGAATTTGAGCCTTCCTACCTTCCAAGTGTTTCCCCGTATAAACAATGTTATTCTTAGATTGTTGCCCTTTAGTCCATACTGTTGAAGCTGTTGGAGTTTGTGTGAAATAATGAAATATTAAATGAGCCAAAGAGGGAATTGGAAAGTGGTTCAGGGATTGTGACATCATGGATTAGATTTTCTCTCCTCAGATTCAGATACCAGGCTTACTTCATATATAAGTACTTCTAATGTATTTGTGAAAAATATACTAATAAAGATGGTGTAATTATCTTTATTGGAATTTGCTTTTTGTTTAAGAACAAAACTTTGCACAATCTTTTAAATAGGCTAAAATGGCTAATAGATGGAATTTTTAGAAAAAGCAATTTAACTCTTGAGTATCAAAGGTTTGTAGATTCTTGCAGGCGACTTTAGCTCCTGACTAAAAGGAGTTCACATCCCAAAACTGCACTTTAATATATACCAAGCCTGCACTTCGTAGCGTAGTTTTCATAAACGGTTGTATTTTCATTATTCAAGGTATAGTGGCCTTCCTACTCTGTTTAAAAATTAATTTCTGCAAGCTAGTATAACTTGCAGTTTCTTAGCTCTTTACAATTTCTTATGGTCTGGGACACATTTATACTTTTGAGGGAGGAAGGAGTGTGTTTGTGAAAACATTTCAGATTTTTTTTTTGTTTGAAAACAATGCAAGTTAAACATTTATTAATCCCACTGTATCCTTTTTTTTAGGTAAAGAACAATCTTTGGGAGAGATTAACATGCACCCTGTCTCAGCAGCTCCACTCTCTGTGTTTAGTAAAGAATCAAGCTCCTCAAAACATAGTGATCACCATCATCATCACCACCATGAGCACAAGAAAAAGAAGAAGAAACACAAGCATAAGCATAAGCATAAACATAAACATGATAATAAAGAAAAGGAGAAGGATCCCTTCACTTTCTCTAACAGTCCAGCCAGTGCACGATCCATCCGTTCCCCATCTCTTTCAGACTGATATCGATGGCTTCTCTGGCGTTCAACTTGCAATATTCTCTGAATACTTAGAAGGATGTATATAACTATAGCTTCTATCTTTTTTTTTAATGGAAATAAGAATATGTGAATTGCCTTAGCAATTCAGAAGCTCTGCCATCATCCTCGTTTGAAGCCTTCTATTTGCATATGCGGTTGTTGAAAAAATCTGATTCAAAAAATATGTTTTATGATTCTGAGTCATTTTCTATTTCACTGTTCTCCACACCTCCCACTCTTTTTTCCATTTTAAACAAAGAAAACAGCCCTTTATGTAAGGGCCCCACGTCCACTGGCAACCCCCTGCACATCATGCTGACCATGTGTACTGCCAGAATCAATTATGTTTTAATCCTTTGAAGAATGTTATGAGGCAGAGTATGTTTTAAGCAGAAGCCAATTGCCAGACCTTTGGTGAAGTGCTGTTCCAGAGTAGTATTGTATAACCAAGTGTAGACCTCCTGAGAAGACAAGGGATTTTCTGTAGCCTTCAGCTGAGCTGTTTCTTGCTTTAACCATTGCAACGTAAGAATTTTAAGAACAGTTGCCTTCTTCAGATACTAAAACTCTTAAAAAATTCCAAGCTGCTTTTAAGCTGCAGGTATTTATTATGGACATGGCCCTTCGAATATAATGACATTCTGCAATTATGTTTTTGGAATTTTAGCAAAATGCTTAATGCATGTTTTGTCCTGTAATCAGGCTTTTAAAAATCCAATAAAGATTGCAAATTATTTTGACAGAGGCAGAATTTTTTCTTCAAGCTTGACATTGGAATATGCTTTTGAAAGATGGCTTTGCTACAATTAAAAAAATATTTTTTGAAATGCTTAAAAATTAAAAGATTGAAAAATATATATTTCCTCCTTCTGAGGGGTGGCTTTTTTGGAAGCATTCTGTGTGTCATGAATCCACAGGAGAAATACATCAGTAGATTAAGCTGGGTCTAGGACTTTAAATGATGGATATATTTACATTTCTTTAGCTGTGTTTTATGCAGTGGACTATTTACACCAGTTTTATTTAAAAACTTAAGTTTTTAGAAGTTCTGATAATAGAGATAAATCATCTCTGCCACTTTTTATGTGATTTCTTTACTTGTATGTAGAGGCAGGGGGTTTATTTCCACATACTGGTTAACTTCTGTTGCCCAGAGCTCACTTCACGTTTGGCTTTCTAGAAGATGGTTGTATTTGGGTTAAATATTTTTTAAAATTTTTTCCCAAATTCCTGTGAGAGACTGATTCTCCTTCTTAGGGCAAAGACAGTGTTCAACAGGGACCCAAGAAGATCTTTTTAAGCCATATTCTGTTTCATTAAAGTTAATAAATACTTTTATATTATATACCTGCTGTTGAATCCTGTAGTTTTTGTAATGACAAATTATCTGTAGAATGGAAGGATGATAGGCTCAGGTATTCTGTTATACACGCATCCTTATTTTGTTATTCAACCATCATATCTCTTTAATACTGAGTGGAAAGTTGTGCTATTTGTTGTACTTGGGATGCATGTTAAGATAAATTTGGGCTGGATTTGGACGTGATGGACCTGGGTGGCATCGCAGCCTCTCCCCATCTGGGGCCATGCCAGCAGCTCTTGACACTAGGTGAATCCCACCTTGGTGTCATTTGTTTCCCCTCCGGCAATGACTGCAAGCTCTTACAGCTTAGATGAGCTAAAGGGGCAACAGGAACAGGAAAACACCGAAGTGTGGGTAGAATGAGGTACTGCGTGTGTTTTCAGTAGAGTGTGTGCAGCTCAACTGGCCACCCCTCTTGAGCCAGCAAGCTGCTATGTTGGCATCATGAGCTGTGAATCACTGGGAGAGGGTGGGAGGCTATAGCAATAGCTCAATGGAAATATTTTTAGGTGTTTTTCCCTTGGCTAAGGAGTGAGGTAACAGTGCCAAAGGTGTTTGTGAGAGACCTGGGCTAATAAGCAATGAAAGCTGGCATTGTTTGGGAGAGCGAAGGCAGATGCATTTATGTTTTAAAAATGAGGTCATGGCTAATTTAGGCTGGTGTAGTTTCTACTTTTGGAGATGTGGATTTACACTCGTGCTGGGGGGAAATGTATTGTTTAGGGATAGGGGCACACAACTGAGGCAAAGCTGCTACACAGTAATTCTACCATCATGTTTGGCTATATGACTTTAAGTGAAGTACTGAATATATGTTAAGGAAATAGGGCAAAGGCACAGTTAATAGAAAACTGGATGGGAAAAAAAAATCTAAAGACTTTTCCAGTGCAGTTTCTGAGGTTATGTCATGGTCCTGGTTCAGAGCAGCCATTGATGTGTTTGATGGAATACAAAGTAAGTTTGGGGTCTACACGGACAGGCAGTGCTCGCAAACTGGTAGATGTGCTCAGAAGTCAGAACAATTAGACAGATTGCACAGATGATCCAAAACCAGCAAGTTAAAATTCAGTAGGAATGAATGTGAAATAGACTGAACTTGAGGGAAAACGAGGTGCATGAAAACAAGCCATTCCCCCACCCTGCAAGGTGCAGTGAGGAAAAAGCATCTGGTTGCACAGAGGTGAGCAATTGGATACGATTGCAAAAAGCAAAACTCACTCAAGGGTTTGCAGGAATTTTTTAATATTAGTTGTGAAAGTAATTATTCTATCAAGTCATGATGATTTTAGGCAACACTTTTTAAGATATAGGTGGGCAAATTCCCACAGATGGAAACAACACATAACATTGCATATAAGAAAAAAAAAAAGGGGGGGGGGGGAAGTATTCCCGGTCTAGAATGAAAGAAGTCTGAGGAGGGAACACTCCCTTCCAATACCTGGAAGATTGCTGCAACAAAAAATGTTTGTCAGTTGGTCCTGATATTTTCTGGGGGAAGGAGGGGATTAGCTTTATTTGCAAAGATACTTTTGCTGAATGTTAAGATGGAAAATAGTCTCAGTCACCTAATTATAATGTGAAAGCTCTTTTCCTGTAGGTTTCTAAGCAGCAGATTGGCAAATGTCTGCAGGGGATGTTTCTGGGATGCTTTGCCCTGCCACAGTGCAGGGACCTTGCTGCTATAGTTCGTTTTCATGGTTTCTTTCACCTAATGATGATGTGAAAGCTCTTCTGTAGGTTTCTAAGCAGCAGATTGGCAAATGTCTGCAGGGGATGTTTCTGGGATGCTTTGCCCTGCCACAGTGCAGGGACCTTGCTGCTATAGTTCGTTTTCATGGTTTCTTTGATATTCCACTTTTGTTGGCTCCCTGGGTGTGATGGGCACTTGTGGGAGGCTTGGGAAGCCGAGGTCTTTGCCTGCCAAAGATCTTACCGATGGCAGTTTAGCTTGGGCTTTTCTTCTACTGAAAAGTCAGTGACTATCTCAAAGTTATAGCCTGACATCAAGTTAAAACTTCATCTTCAGACGGTGGATTAAGCTCTTTATCCTCACCACCTTCAAACCTGGATATCTGGCTGTAACATGTGCAGTTGATTTTGGTCCAGGTTCTGATTTTCAGTGAAAGCTTCTGCTTTATAGTGTGCTGTCCTTAAAACAAAAGGAGAACTATCTGATTTAGGTGGGGTAGTGGAGAAATGTCTGATTTAGGTGGGGTAGTGTCCAATACTGGAAGAATACATGTTACACGTATAAAGTAGAAATGCATATATTGTTGAAAATGCACAAAGAGGTTAAAGTCTGGAGAATTTATTTTGACACCTCCGTTTTTGATATTAATTTATTTTGTTCATTATAAACATTATAATGCATATAAGTGCAGGGCAGATATGTAACATGAAAAGACCTAGATGCATTTTTAATGCAGATGTTGTTTATCTTGGGGTTTATCTTTATTTCTCAGCATAATTATTAAAAAAAGAAGTCCATAAAGTAACTGCTGCATCTCTTAGATGTGTAGACATGCTCAAGTATTTAATTAGGATGTAGCTTCTTTCCTTAGGTGTCCAAGTAAGCATTCATTTCAGCCTCGGTGGGTTCACTACCAGGCCGTGTCAGTCTGGTCTGGTGCTGTGCAGGAAGAACAGCAGGATGCGGCTTCACGCAGCCCTGGGGTGAGTCTTTGTACTGTGAATGGTGCAGTACCGCAGCTGGCACTGGGCTTCCTATCAATGGTAACAAGGTGTCCTTACACTGTTTAGCTTTTTAGGATATAAAAAACTGTTCAGTTTTAGTTGATTTCATTTTCACAGAAATCTGATAATTTTTATATAAACAGCAAACAATTTTTATTCATGTCAGTTTCAGTTCCTTAAGCCAGTTAAGTCACAGAAAATTAGAAACCTGATTTTTAGTTCAGCATCAGTATTGCACAGAGGCTCTTAAAGTACACATGGGAAATTAAAAAGTTTTGCATTATATTTAATTACTTTGATATATATTTAATTTATGTTGAAAAATATATACTATTCATAAAATGTTTATATCTTTGTTTCCCGCTTTTATAATTTAAATGGCAATAATATGTTTGCATACACATTAAACCATGGTAGCCAATATGTAAAGTCTGTGTTATTCCATATCACCTCATATCCTAAATATAGTTTTGCTAAACACATTTCCAAGGTTTTCCTGTATTATTATTTTTCTCCAGATAAATCTACAATGTCAGTAACCTCTGTTGATGTAGATGAGTCAGGATTTCATTAGAAAGACTTTGTGTTTTATTGAAGCATACTTCACCTGGTGTGGCGCTTAGGAAGAAAAAAAAAATATTTTTGTGGTAAACATCATAAAGTGACAGCAAAAATTGAAAGCATATTTAGCCAGATTTTTTTTTTCATTTCTGAGTAAAAGTGAAACTGCATGGGCGTGCTTTGGGCTGATCTAACAGCTTGTCACCGCTGCGGCAAGGAGCTGTTTCTCCCCAAGCTCCTGACCCTGCAGTCCCGTGTTGGACTTTCTGGGGCCCAATACAGCTCTCTAACTAGCAAATAAAATCGGGCTCATTCTTGCTGCGTTAGCAAGCTGAAACTTCTGGGCAGAGGCTGAGTAGGCAGCG